TCAATTGGTGGCCAAAATAATCGGCAAAATTAGCGAACAACGGTAGCGATGTGTCGTAAAATAATATGTTCAACGATTGTAACGATTCCGGCAATAAATAGCACATATTATTGCCGAAAAATATATCGTCCAATTGGACATTACTTTCAGTAATGAAATGATTTTTATAAATGATATCCAATGTCTTCAGGTTAGGCATAGCGTCGACCACTTCGTAAAACAATTGTTTATTGAAATCATGATTATTGCCGACAAACTTGAATGTCAACAACTGTTGGCCGAAACGCCAGAAAAACCGTTCAAACGTACGGTCGATGACCGACCAGAGGCCGTCGTAATCATGTTTTATAGAGATGTGTCGCAATCGGTGACAGTATTTGATCAATAAATCAATGAAACGGCTCATCATATGGACAGCACCGGGAAGTGTTGAACTAATAATAAAATCATAATTTATGTCATAATTATTATAACAAACAAACAAATAAATTAAAAATCTTACCCAACATTTATGGTAACTGCGGTAATGTTCCGACACTTGCGGACCAACACATGAAACAATTTGATTGTCTGATAATAGTCACTCATTGAGTCCAAAGACATTTTATTCAATAGTTTTTTACTAAATACTAGATGTGTTTGTGTATTGAATATCAATGCCAACCACTGCTTGGACACCGATTGTAGTCTTAGTCTGTCATCGATTGGCAGATATTGAAGCAATAGTTGACACAAATCATCGCCGAAGCGATCAAACGAGTCCTTCGCCATTGTTGTGGTCATTATCTTCTTCAGTGATCTTCAATGAGTCTTCAGTGACCTTCAAATAGTATTTGATTAAACTAAAAAAATATACAAAAAAAACTTTATAATTAAAATAATATAAATATAATTATATATAATATTATATTATTTAATAAAATAAGTAATTAAAACATAAACAATAAATAAATAAATATTTACAACAATAGGCTAAATGTATAACTTATACAAACAATTAATCAATTAATTAATTAAATTTACTTTTTTATTGTTATTACTATTATATTATTGTATTGTATAATAAATACTGTTTACAAATAAATAAATAAATAAATAAATAATTGTATTATTATTAGTAGTACTAAACAAACAGTAATAATACAAATGTGTATTACATTTACACATAACTGTAAATATATTTTATTTGTTGACGCAATACATGCATTGCAAACACTATTTATTATTAATATTATTAAATACAGTGTAAAGTAATACATATAGACATTAATAACGTTTTTGTTAACAATTCAAACAATTTCATTGACTTATCTCTAATTCAATAAGTTTTTTATATCAAATACGAGATGTGTTTGTGTATTGAATATCAATGCCAACCACTGTTTGGACACCGATTCCAGTCTTAGTTTGTCATCGATTGGCAGATATTGAAGCAATAGTTCCGCCAAATCATCGCCGAAGCGATCATCAAACGAGCCGTTCATTGCTGTTCATGTCTTCGCTGTCATCTGTCTTCACATTTGATCTTAACTTTCAATAATCTTCTTGTAATTATTAAAACTCTTTCAATAAATTCAATAAAAAAAACAATAACATAACTACTAATACTTACATTGATTTACAAATCAATTATGATTTTTACTAATAATTATCACGAATTCCTGAAAGGAATACGTATATGCATTCTAAAAGTCTGTCCGTCTGTCCGTCTGTCTGTCCCACGAGGACATAGGATCGAATCCAGGCTCCGCTACAAAATTTTTTTTGATTTTTTTTGGTTTTTTTCTTTTTTAAGTTAAGGAGATCGTATGGGAATGCTTTTGAAGCATTCTCAACTGTTTTTTTTTATTTTTTTAAAATTTTTTCCTTTTTAAGTTAAGGAATTCGTGTGGAAATGCTTTTAAAGCATTCTCAACTGGTTTTTTTTGTATTCAACAAACATATCATAAATTTTTATGCAATCAATCAATAAATACAAACTAATTGACTATAAATTTATTGAATTTCTTTTTAAATTGATGGCAAAATCGGTCAAACAAACAGTGGAGACCATAGTTTAACAGCTGAACGCTATTCATAGGCATTAGATATAAGTGTTTCAATCGGTAACAGTATTTAATCAATGATTCAAAATATTTTTTTTACAAAAATATATCGGACTTATAATAACTTGTTGTAATGTTTAAACAGTTTTATAAAAATCAATTCAAAATCAATTTCATTGACTTATCTCTATTGTTCATTGAATCCAATGAAAAACTATTCAATAGTTTTCTATCAAATACGAGATTTGTTTGTATATTGAATATCAATGATTGACACTATTTGGACACTGATTGATAAACATAAAAAAACATTATTACAAACAACAAATCAATTAACAATTACCGGTAATTAGAAAAACTATATTTACAATTGTATATAAATATTAACTAAAAACAGTTATTTAAATAATACAGTAGTACTTATAAATTATGTGTAATTCAATGTTTTTTAATAATTTATAATACTGTAGAAAGTCAAGTAACGGTAAAACGGCAAAATCTATAATTTTATATTTAAAAAAAATAATAATAAAATTATTATACAAGCAATTTTTATTATATATATATATACTGGATAAATAAAATAAAAATTTTAATAATAATAAAAAATTAAAGAATTCAAATTAATAGTGATTGTGATTATGCATTGATATTACAGTACCGGTAATTAGTATTTTTTAAACAAATAATATTTTTGTTAACATTTAGCCAATTCATCAAACGAGTCCTTCGCCATTGTTGTGGTCATTGTCTTCTTCAGTGATCTTCAATGAGTCTTCAGTGAGTCTTTGATTTTGTTGACAGAAAATCTAAACTAAAAAAATATACAAAAAACTTATTAGTAATTAAAATCATATAAATATAATTATATATAATATTATATTATTTAATAAAATAAGTAATTAAAACATAAAAAAAATAAATAAATATTTACAACAATAGTCTAAATGTATAACTTATACAAACAATTAGTCAATCAATCAATTAATTTATTTAATTTACGTTTTTATTGTTATTACTATTATATTATTGTATTGTAAACAAACAAATAAATAAATAAATAAATAAATAATTGTATTATTATTAGTAGTACTAAACAAACAGTAATAATACAAATATGTATTACATTTACAAATAACTGTAAATATTTTTTTATTTGTTGACGCAATACATGCATTGCAAACACTATTTATTATTAATATTAAATACAATGTAAAATAATATACGGTATTAAAATTTTTTTACAAAATCCTGAGACGACAACAATGTATAATAATAAATGTTAATTTTAAAGTCCTATTCATTAACTAAGTTATCATATTTACAATTAGAGTCTAAGCTTTACAGTCATTGTAAGCATTAAATATGATAACTTAGTTAATGAATAGGACTTCTATTACATTGTTGTCGTCTCAGGATTTTGTAAAAAAATTTTATAGACATTAATAACGTTTTTGTTAAATAATACATACATTAATACAGTATTGAAACTATTCTAGTGTTGTTAAATTCCCACACTATGTGTATTCCCTTTAAACAATTAATAGTGGAATTAATTTAGTTTATTAAATTAATATTATTATTACAGGGTTTTTTCATTGATTTTGTAGTTTTATATAATAATTTTGTAGTTTTGCAACAATAGTTTGTAGTTTATAACATGAAATTGTAGTTTTGCAACAATAGTTTGGATTTTTATAGCAATAGATTGAAGCTAACTGTAAGCAATATATTAATTGTATTCGAATTTTAGATTCAATGCAAACAATAATTGTATTTTTTGATATAACGTGAACTTCAATCTATTGCTATAAAAATCCAAACTATTGTTGCAAAACTACAATTTCATGTTATAAACTACAAACTATTGTTGTAAAACTACAAAATTATTATATAAAACTACAAAATCAATGAAAAAACCCTGTATTATCATAATATATATATATATTTAATCCCTATTAGTTGTAATTAACTTTTAAAAAATTATTATTAAATATTTATTTGTTAGTTAAAAAAAACTGCTAATTGATAGTAAATATATTAATGGAAACTTTCCCTTAAAAAGTTTTATAATTAATATAATATTGTGTTCCCATGTGTTGTATATGTAATGCAATGTTTTATTATTATTATTATTATTATTAAAGTTATTGTCAGTTAATATTTATTTACATTTTTAATAGTAATTAAAGTTTTGTAATTAAGTGTTAATATAATAAGTTTATATATGTATTGATTGATTGATTGAAAATATTGTTTGTTTGATTTGAATACAATTATTATTGTTGTTATTATTATTACAATAACACACAAAATCATTTACAAACAAACAAAAAATTAGTACAATTTATTATACGATTGTTTCATAATATAATAAATAGTATAAAAGCAATCGTATAATAAAATGTATTAATTTTTTGTTTGTTTGTAAATGATTTTGTGATTATTGTTATATTAATTGATTGTAAAACAAATTTAATTATAATATATTGACTGAAAAAAACAAAAACAAAATATCAAAAATAATTAAATCAATTAATTGTTAACAATATATTCATTGAATTGAATCAATGTATATGTAATGCAATGTTTTTAATTTAACTGTCAGTTAATATTTATTTTAATATTTCTAATAATATTTTATAGTTTTCTAATTAAGTGTTAATATAATATAAGTTTATATAAATTTGTTTATATATTGATTGATTGATTTGAATACAATTATTATTATTATGTCAATTGATTGTAAAAAATCAAATATAAGTATTTTAGTAGTAGTTTTGTTGTTATATAATGTTGTTAACAATTAATTGATTTAATTATTTTTGATATTTTGTTTTTGTTTTTTTTCAGTCAATATATTATTCATTGATTTGAATCAAAACTTTTAAAATTATCAAAAAATCAAGAGATTATTTGAAGTGAACTAAACAAAAGTGAAGATCACTGAAGATAATGACCACAACAACAACAGTAATGACAGTGAAGAAGGACTCGTTTGATCGCTTCGGCGATGATTTGTGTCAACTATTGCTTCAATATCTGCTAATTGAAGACAAAGTAAGACTGGAATCGGTGTCCAAACAGTGGTCGACATTGATATTCAATACACAAAATTATCTCATATTTGATGTCAAACTATTGGAAACATTGTCTGTGAACTTAACAGATAATAAACAGACTATTGATTTGTTTGAATTGTTGGTCAAAAAGTGTCCAAACATTACAACAGTTATTATAAAAGATATCTCATATTCTGTTAATTATTTTGAATTATTAATGAAATACTGTTCACAATTGAAACACATATGTCTTAACTATAGTAATCCAATTGATTGGCAAAGTTATCGCAAATCATTTGATTGTTTTTGTAACCGATTTGGCCAACAATTGCTGACATTCAAGTTTGACGAAATATATACCCCAACTAATAGACAATTGTTTGAAAACTTGTCAAACTTGAAGACATTGGACGTCAATCACATCGAAAGCACTGAACAATTGTTTAATAAATGTCTGAATTGTTTGCCAAACTTGACTACTATTGATATCAGGACTAACGGAAGGATAAGTCTAGGATTTGATGTTATATTAGCCGTCAATAAGTTATTACCGAAAACAATTCAATCACTGACAGTAAGATTGGACAACAGGTTTATTAAATTATTTTTACAAATTAAGTTTACTAATATTTACGGCCAACAAATCAGATCATTGAATCTATTGGCTGAAGATCTTGAAGATTATCGCAATTTGACGATATTGTCGGCCGGTTTGTCACAAATGCAACAATTGAAACAACTGGTCATTAGTTTGCCCGTAGGTTTTGGTACCGTTCATACCATTCGACTGTTGACAACAATTGGCCGCCGGTGTCGACAACTGAAAAAGTTTGGTATTTCAATAAACAAGTTAATAGATAACTCAGTCGACATATTTGCCGCAATCAATGAACATATGTCACCACAATTGAGACGATTAACAGTGAATTGTTATCCCGTTGATGAACAGTCAGTACTGACCAGCAGTTCGTTAAAACGATTGCATCGATTGACACATTTAACACTTCGTGTATACAGTCGGCAGATAATCGGTGACTGTTTTTTCAATAATATTCACCGCAATCTTCCGCGACTACAGTATATTAGATGTGATTGTGTGTCTATTACTGAGGTGTCGATTACCGCTTTAGGACAGTTAGCACACCTCAGGGATGTCTATCTCCTGTTCGATGCAAACAAACGTATGACAACAAGTGATGTATTTATTTCCAATCAATTACTAATTGGTAGTCATATTAAACACTTGTATATTGAGTATTGTTCATCAAATGAGTCAAAACGTTTTATTTATGGCAAATATTTTAATTATGATAATCTTAATGTTAATTAACGGATACATTAGTAGTTGTAGTGATGAGTACTGATGGACAGTGATATAAATTTACTAATGATTTAGATTTTTGTCGCTAATATTAACAATAATACTATTTGTTTAAATGCTATTTAAATAATATCAATGCTTAATCATAATAACTATTATAAAAACAATGTTCAATAATTAATTGATTACCGGTAACTAATATTATATTTATTATTTTATTTTATTATTATTAAAATTTGTAATTTTTATTTTACTTACCCGGTTTATAATTTCATAATAAAGTCATTATAATTTTAAAAATAATTTAATAGCTTTGATATTTTTGATTTTTTAAACTACCGTAATTTATCCAAAATATTTACACTATTATTTATATTGTAAATTTTTTTAATTGTAATAATAAAATTTATCAAATTACCCAGTACAGTTAGTAATTTGATATTTAATTTGCGATCGAAATAAACTATTTTTATGACAACAAGTGAATCATTAATTTTCAATTAGTTTACTAATTGGTAGTAATATATTAAGCAATTATTTATTAAATATAAAATAGTATACAATAATGAATGAATATTTTGTTTAATATAATTTTTATTTAAAAAAAATTGTAATATTTATAATTTTATTACATTAATAATAATAAATTAAACATATTATGTTACAAATAACTATCTATTATTATCAAACAATATTATTCACTTATTATTATTATAATTATTAATATAATAGTTAATTATCACTTAAGGAACAGTTGGATAGGATATGGTCTAACAAATTGATTGATACTATTGTATAACATAAACAATAAGATTATAATCATTACTAAACATCATTGCTATCAATACAATACATTTATACGGACTTTAATCGCTATCACTAGCTATAAGACTACCAATAAAACTATTACTACTAATTTGGTTATCATTATCAACATATTTACCGCATTTAAACACCTGTTGTATACCATCTATTGAATCCTTGTAAACCAAAAACAAGTGTTTAACTTTTGTGTCGATCAGTAAATGCCGTCTAATATTAGCTTCACTTGTCTTCTCAATGTATCCATAGGTCGGAAGATAGACATCCCTGAGGTGTGCCAACTGTCCCATAGCGGCGATCGACTCATCAGTGATGGACATTCTGTCGCATTTGATATACTGTAGTCGCGGAAGATTGCGATGAATATCACGAAAAAACTGGTCACCAATTATACTCGAGACGTTTGACCGAAGTATCAAATGTGTCAATGCGTGCAATCGGTTTAGCGAACCGCTGGTCAGTAATAAGTCGTTGTCATAAACGGCCGAACAATCCACTGATAATCGTCTCAATTGTCGAGACATATGTTCATCGATTGCGTCAAACATTGGATTAATTATAGAAATATTTGAATAATATGATCGACATTCATAGTGTAAAGATTTAAGTTGGCGACAATTGCGGCCAATTGTCGTAAATAAATCGCCGATAAATTCTAGGCTAAAATTGATCGGCAAATCAAACATGAGTTGTCTTAATCGCGGCATTTGTCGAAAACCGGTCGATAATGGCTTGAGATTAACGGCCCATTCCTTGTCCTCATCGACAACAGACTCGTCTATTAGTAGAGTCAATGATATCAATTGGTGGCCATAAATATCGGCAAAATTTGCGAACAACGGCAACGATGTGTCGTCAAGTTTTATGTTCAATGATTGCAACGATTTCGGTAACGAATAAAACTTATTATTATCTCTGAAAATATCATTCAATTGGACAGAACTTTTTCTGCCGGAACCGAAGAGTCTTCCCCTGTAAATGATATCCAATGTCTTCAGGTTAGTCACACCGTTGACCACATCGTAAAACAATTGTTTATTAAATCTAAGATTATTGCCGTCAAACTTGAATGTCAACAATTGTCGGCCAAATTTTGTGAATAAACTCTCAAACATACTGTCGAAGTCCGACCAGAGGCCTCTGTAATGAAGTTCAATAGAGATGTGTAGCAATTGGTGACAGTATTTGATCAATAAATTCATTATTTGATTCATTATATGGACAGAACCGGGAAATTTTATACTATAAAAAAAATAATCATAATTTGTGTCAAATTATTATTAGTTTTAAAAAACAAAAAAAAAGTTCAAAACTCTTTACCTAACATTTATGTTAACTGCGGTAATGTTCGGACATTTTGATACAATCACTTCAAACCATTTAATTATCGTCTCATAATAGTTGAGATCAATTGAGTTCAAAGACATATTATTTAGCTTTTTACCAAATATGAGATCAGTTTGTGTCGTGAATATCAATGCCAACCACTGTTTGGACACCGATTGCAGTATAAGTCTGTCTTTTATCGGCAGATATTGAAGCAATAGTTCCGCCAAATCATCGCCGAAGCGATCAAACGAGTCCTTCTTCGCTGTTGTTGTTGTTGTGGTCATTGTCTTCTTCAGTGATCTTCAATATATTAGTTTATTATTATGTCTTCAAATAGTCTTGTTTTTGTTGACTAAAAAAATATTATGAAATATAAAACTTTAAAATTAAAATCATATAAATAATTAAACAAAAATATCATATTATTTACTAAAAAAAATAAGTAATTAAAAAATATAAATATTATTTACACAATAGTCTAAATGTATGACTTATAACAAACAATTAACTAATCAATTAATTAATTAATTTTATTATTATTATTATTGTATAATAAATACTGTTTACAAACAAATAACAAAAAATATGTAACACGTAATGCATATGTAATGCAATGCATATGTAATGCAATGTATATGTAATGCAATGTATATGTAATGCAATGCATATGTAATGCAATGTATATGTAATGCAATGTTTTTAATAATAACTAGTAACTTTAGATATATGTGACTAAAATTTGGTTTTTATTCAATGAAATATTTGCTTAAAAATATAAAAATATGTGATTATATTTGCTTAAAATAGTAAAAAATGTGCTTATAATTGCTTTGAAAAGTCAAAATATGTGATTATAAAGATTAATAAATTTATTAAAAATTATATATTAATTAAGTAATTTTGTGTTACAATTTATGATAAATTAATATTTAATATTTTTATTATTTAAACTTAAAAAACGCATAAATTAAAAATATTTAGCTTTTAAAATGTTTGTATTAATTTAAATTAATACAAATAACCTTTTCACTCCTATTGTCTTTTAGTAAACATTAGAAAATAACAAAACATATTATTATTTTTTTGATTTGTTTACAAAAATTAACAAATAAAGTTGCATTGATAAAAAAATACTATTTTTAAAAAATTGAACAAATAATATATACAAAAATACATAAGAAAAATGTAATTCAACTATTATTTTACAGTTATATGCGAAATATGTGATAATATTTGATAATATGTGACTACCTTTCAAAATATGTTGTTATATGTGTTTATGTGACTAAAACTTTTGCTATAATTATTGGTTTTCAATCAATCGTTTATATATCTAATTATTTTGTTAATATCTTTAATCACTAAAAATATAAGTTATATGTGAAATAAATGCTCTAATAATAACTTATAATTAACTGTCAGTTAATATTTATTTTAATATTTCTAATAATATTTTATAGTTTTGTAATTAAATGTTAATATAATAAGTTTTTTAAATAAATTTGTTTATGTATTGATTGATTGATTTGAATACAATTATTATTAATATTTTTAATATTATAACAATTAATTGTAAAAAATCAAATGTAAGTATTTAGTAGTATATTGTTTGTTATAATATTGTTAACAATTGATTGATTTTACTTAACCGGTTTATGATTTATAATAAAGTCATTATAATTTTTAATAGCAATTAGAAAATTTTTATTTTTAGACAACAAAAAAAATAATTTATCCATAATTTATTTTTTTACAATTAGTTTATTTTTGTAAATTTTTAATTGTAATAAAATTTATCAATTATAATTATACTATTTATAATATTATATAAATAACTAATAGATGACATATCAATAGTAGTGTGTATTTGAATCAACAAATAATACTGTATTATAAACTTTATAATAATTATTGTTATTAGATAATATATTATTAACAGTGAAATAGTAAATAATAATTTGTTGATAATAATAATAATAATAATAATAAATATTTACATATATATTATAGTATGTTATAAATGGTATAATTAGTATTATTGCTAATATAATAGTTGATATATAGTGTATATTATATATATTTTTGTTTTTCACTAAAATTTTTTATATTAATTATATTCAATTAAATAAGTTTATTATTGTGTATTCAAATTGTTTTTGTCATTATTGAGTATTTAATATAAAAAAATATATTTTAATCTTAATTAGTGTAATAACCGTCCGTATGCGTATATATGCCCCCCCTATGGTATCCGGGGCTATATGTAAAACTATAGGGCAAGATTTGAGTTACACCCCCCCCCTACCAAAAGATTGATTTAATAGATTCACAAATAGCCCCACAATATTGAAATTATTTTTTAAATGTATGTAATTACCACTCCCCCACATATGCCAACTATTGACAGGTTTAAATAATGACCGGTCTTACATATTACCCCATCCCCCAAATGTTTCCTACCCCACGACTTCACATATAGCCCTAGTAGAGGGGGGAAGGGGTATATGTAAGTTACAGTCCAATACTAAAAGTTGATTTTTATTTCTTATAAAAACCTGTTAGTGGGGGGAGGGGAGGGGCGGACATAGGGTAATATATTTTCCATAAATTAACCGATTTGGCCGACCATTTGATAACCAATACTCAATTAACAAGTGCTTAATATTACTATCGATTAGTAATTGATTGGATATTATTGATATGATTTCAGTTGTCATCAGTTTGTTTGGATCGCACAGTAGATAGATATCCGTCAGGTGTGCCAACTGTCCCATAGCTAGGATCGACTCATCAGTAATAGACGATTCAAAGCATCTGATATACTGTAGTCGCGGTAGATTACGGTGAATGTCGCGGAAAAACTGGTCACCAATTATACGCCAATAACCAACGCGAAGTGTCAAATGTGTTAATCGATGAAATCGTTTCAACGAATCGCTGGTTATCACTACTAACTCTTCGTCATAATTGGACTTTTCGTAATAACTTTTGGGCCAACAATTCAGTGATAATCGTCTCAATTTCGGTGACATATGTTCAGCGATTGTCACAAATATTTGCCTAATTAAGTCAATCGTCAACTCTTTTGATGAATAGCTAAACTCTATAAGTTGTCGACATCGGCGGCCAATTGTAGTCAACAGTTGAACAGTTTGATCAGTGCAATCGGTATCTAAATTATTGGGTAAACTAATGGCCAGTTGTTTCAATTGTGGCATTTGTGACAAACAGTCTGTTAGTGTCTTGAATTTGTTTTCATTTTCAAATTCATCGACTAATAGATTCAATGATTTGATTTGTTGGCCACAATTAGCTAATATGATATCCAAACGTGTTTTACTGTTTACAGGGATATCCACAGTCTTTAAGTTTATCAAACTATCGATACTTTTATAAAATAAATGTTGATATGTTTCCATACATTTTACTTCAAACTTAAATGTAAGCAATTGTTGGCCAAATCGACGACAAAAACAATCAAATGATTTGCTATAACTGTGCCAATCGTGTGAATTAAGACATACGTGACTAATGGATAGGTGTTTCAATTGAGGACAATATTTCATTAATAAATCAAAATAATTAATTAAATAACGGATTGAACTTATATTGACTGTTGTAATGTTTGGACACTTTTTGATTAACAATACAAACAAATTAATTGTCTGTTTTTCATCAATCAATGTGTTATTAAAAAAACTCTCCAATAGTTTGTCATCAAATACCAGATCGGTTTGTCCATTGAATATCAATGACTGCCACTGTTTGGACACCGATTGTAGTCTTAGTTTGTCATCAGTTGGCAGATATTGAAGAAATATTTGACACAAATTATCGCCGAAACGATCAAACGAGTCCTTCGACTGTGTCATCACTGGTGTTGTTGTTGTTGTGGTAATTGTTTTTTTTCAAATGATTTTCACACTTCAAAATAGTTTCTGGATTTCTTAAAACATCTTAAAAAGTTAAATAAAGTAATAAATCATTAGTTAAAAATCAATGACAACATAACTAACAAAATACTTACATTTGATTTTTACAAATCAATTAACACAAAACTACTGTATTATATCATATATATAGTGATTGACATTACTTTTATTTAGACGGGAATGAATCAAATGGGAATCAATTCAATAATAATAATAATAATAATGTAATAAATTATTATAACTTATACTTACTTATTATATAACTTGTAATTAATATACTTATAATTTACTTATTATTATTGCATTGTTTGTTAGTGTTTCCTATACCGGGATTAAACAATAGAGAGGATATGGGGGAAAAAATGGGACGCATTTAATACATATAAAGCTATGACCAGTCAATCAATAGTTACAACTAAATCATTTATTTCCAATCATTTACTTAATCTTAATGTTAATTATCGGATACAGTAGTTATGAGTACTGAATCAGTACTACTGATGGACAGTGATATAGATTTACTAATGATTAAGATTTTTGTAGCTATTTATTAACAATAATAATATTACTTTTGTTTAAATGCTATTTAAATAATATCAATGTTTAATCATAATCATTATTTATATGTTCAATAATTATTGATTAACTAATTTTCTTTAATATTATATTTTTATAATTATTTTACTTACCATGTTTATAATTTATAATAAAATCATTATAATTTTTAAAATAATTTAATCTATAATTTAATAGCTTTGATTTTTTTTCTAATTTATCCAAAATTTTTACACTATTATTTTTGTTGTAATTTTTTCTAATTGTAATAATAAAATTTATCAAATTACCCAGTACAGTTAGTTATTTGATATCTAATTTGCGATTGAAATAAACTTTTTGTTGTTGAATACAAGTGAATTATTTATTTTCAATTAATTTACTAATTGGTAGTAATATATTAAGCAATTGTTTATTAAATATAACATAATATACAATAATGAATGAATATTTTGTTTACAGTAATATTATTTTGTTTAATATAATTATTATTATAAAAAAATTTGTAATATTTATAATTTTGGTACATTAATAAAAATAATAAAAAAAATTAAACATAAATTAAACATAATTTGTTACAAATAATACTATTCACTATTATTTTTATTAATAGTTAGTTTTTTTATCACTTAAGGAACAGTTAGATAGGACATGGTCTAACAAATTGATTGAGACTATTGTATAACATAAGCAATAAAATTATAATCATTTCTAAACATCATTGCTATCAATACAATACATTTATACGGACTTTAATCGCTATCACTAGCTATAAAGACTACCAATAAAACTATTACTACTGATTTAGTTATCATTATCAACATATTTACCGCATTTAAACACCTGTTGTCTACCATCTATTGAATCCTTGTATACAACAAACAAGTGTTTAATTTTAGTGTCGATTAGTAAATGCTGTCTAATATTGGCTTCACTTGTCTTCTCAATGTATCCATAGGTCGGAAGATAGACATCCATTAGGTGTGCTAACTGTCCCATAGCGGCGATCGACTCATCAGTGACGGGCGCATTGTCGCAGTGTATGGACTGTAGTCGCGGAAGATTCAGATGAATGTCCTGAAAAAATTGTTCGCCAATTATATCCCAGTCGTGTAACCGGAGTGTCAAATGTGTTAAACCGTGCAATCGGTTTAGGGAACCGCTGGTCAGTGATAATTCTTCTACGTCTTCATTGTCGTCGTCAATATTATCGCACATCCATTCCAGCGATAATCTTCTCAATTGTTTAGACATATGTTTGTTAATAGCGACAAATATGGCCTTAATTTTCAATATATTTCCTAAATTTGATTTATAATCCAGTGATCGAAGTTGTCGACAGTTGCGGCCAATTGTTGAAAATAAATCCCCACTAAAGTCGGTCCCAAAATCGATCGGCAATTCAAACTTGAGTTGTCTTAATCGCGGCATTTGCCGAAAACCGGCCGATAATGGCTTTAGATCATTAGCCCATACATCTACGTCGTCGTCAATAACTAAGTGGTCAAATCGTATGGTCAATGATATCAATTGGTGGCCAAAAATATCGGCAAAATTAGCGAACAACGGCAACGATGTGTCGGCAAGTTTTATGTTCAATGATTGCAACGATTTCGGTAACAAATAAAACTTATTATTCTTTCTGAAAATATCATTCAATTGGACAGAACTTTGATCGCTGTTTTCGTATAGGATGTCCAATGTCTTCAGGTTTGGCATACCGTTGACCACTTCGTAAAACAATTGTTTATTAAATCCAAGATTATTGCCGACAAACTTGAATGTCAACAATTGTTGGCCAAATTGTCTGAATAAACGTTTAAACATACGGTTGAAGTCCGACCAGAGGCCGTCGTAATCAAGTTTAATAGAGATGTGTCGCAATCGGTGACAGTATTTGATCAATAAATTGATGAAACTGTTCATCATATGGACAGCACCGGGAAGTGTTGAACTAATAAAAATCATAATTTGTGTCAATTATTATTATTTTTAAACAAAAAAAAGTTCAAACCCTTACCCAAAACTTATGTTAACTGCGGTAATGTTCGGACATTTTGATATAATCAGATCAAACAACTTAATTGTCGTCTGACAATTGTCACCCATTGAGTCCAAAGACATATTATGTAATAGTTTTTCATCAAATATGACATCAGTTTGTGTATTGAATATCAATGCCAACCACTGTTTGGACACCGATTCCAGTCTTAGTTTGTCTTCAATCGGCAGATATTGAAGCAATAGTTGACACAAATCATCGCCGAAGCGATCATCAAACGAGTCTTTCTTCGCTGTTGTTGTGCTCATTGTCTTCTTCAGTGATCTTCAATTATAAGTTAATATGTCTTCAAATAGTCTTGTTTTTTGATTTAAAAAAAATCAAAACTTATAATTAAAATCATTTAAATTAATTCATATAATTTAATAAAATAATTAACAAAATACTGTATACTTATTACTAATTAGTATTAATTTAGTCTAATATATACCTAAATTATACAATCAATTAATTACTAAATATAATAAATACTGTTTACAAAAAAAACAAATAAAATATCAATTTAATTATTTAATAATATTATTAATAATATCAATATTAATATATTGTCTAAAAAATATCAGAAATAAATAATCAAATCATATGTTTTTTTAAAAGTATAAATCATATGTGTATTCAATGCCAATAACAACACTACTAATACTGTATTAGTAATACAAACATATAATAAAACAATTTTATGAATTATATTTAAATTATAATTAAAATTTGAAACTAACTATTAGTTTGGACTTATATTTTAAGATATTGACATCTAGTAGTAGTTTATTATATTTATAACATAATAATTTTGATATAAAATACTAACAGTGCACCCGGGTATATTTAATAAATTTTATTATAATTACAAAATAAATACAAAAAAATATAAATATATAAATCAAAATTATTAATAGCTTTAAATTATAGATTAAATAATTATTTTTATAAAAATATATTAAACATATTAAAAACAGGATAAGTAAAATAAAAATTTTAATAATAATAAAAAAATACAATATTAAATAAAATTTAGTTTTCAAATTAATTATTGAATACTACAGTATTAATAATAGTGATTGTGATTAAGCATTGATATTATAAGTAATAGTATTTAAACAAAAATAATAGTATTGTTAACATTAGCGACAAAATCATGTAAATCATAGCTTACGGTAATCTCAATCACTGTCATCACTACTACTACTACTGTATACACGCCTCCGATAATTAACATTAAGATTATCATCATTAAGATATGTGCCATAAATAAACTGTTTTGTCCCACCATTTGATGACCAATAGTTAATATAGAAGTTCTTCATATATTTACTATTAATTAGTAAATGATTGGTTAGAAATGATTCATTTGTTTTTAGTTTGTTTGCATCGTTGATGAGATATACATCCATGAGATGTGCCAACTGTCCCAAAGCAGTGATCGACTTCTCAGTGATAGACAAATAGTCACATTTAATATACTGTAGTCGCGGAAGATTGCGGTCAATATTATTGAAAAATGAGTCACCGATTATCCGATGATTGTATACACGAAGTGTTAAATGTGTCAATCGATGCAATCGTTTTAACGAATAGCTGGTCAGTACTAACTTTTTATCATATTTGTGATAACAATCCACTGATAATCGTCTCAATTGTGGTGACATATGTTCATTGATTGTCACTATTGTTTGGTTTAAGTCAATCCGTGGCATTTTCAATGTATAGCTAAACTCTATCAGTTGTCGACACCGGCGGCCAATTGTTGTAAACAGTTGAATGGTCTGATAGGTATCAAAATATATGGGTAAACTAATGGACAGTTGTTTCAATTGTTGCATTTGTGATAAACCGGATGTCAGTGTCTTGAAGTTGTTTTCATCTTCCAGACCATCAGCCAATAGATTCAATGATCTGATTTGTTGGCCATAAATATTCGTAAACTTTGTAAATAATTTTATAAAATTGTTATCCAGTCTTAGTGTCAATGATTGAATAGTTTTCGGCAATGAATACGACTTATTGTCAGCAAATATAACATTCAATCCCAAACTTTCTTCCCATATAGTGATGTCCAAAGTCTTCAAATTTCTAAAACTATCGACACATTTAGTAAACAATTGATTGCCACCATTGATATGGTAGCCATTAATCTTGAATGTCTGCAGTTGTTGACCAAATCGTTGACAAAATAAATCAAATAATTTGTCATAACTTTAATGTGTGTTTTATTAAGATTAAGATTAATGTGTGTCAATCGGGAACAGTATTTGTTATTATTTAATAACTTAAAGTAATCGGCAATAAAATGCGGATCACTTATAGTGACTGTTGTAATGTTTGGACACTTTTTGACAATTGATTTAAACAAATTCAAAGTTTGTTTCTTATTAATCAATGAGTTCTTACCAAACAATTTCATCAATAGTTTTTTATCAAATACCAGATGTGTTTGTGTATTGAATATCAATGCCAACCACTGTTTGGACACCGATTGCAGTCTTAGTCGGACATCAATCGGCAGATATTGAAGCAATAGTTGACACAAATCATCGCCGAAGCGATCAAACGAGTCCTTCTGTGACATCAATGTTGTTGTTGTGGTCATTGTCTTCAGTTATTTTTCTTTTTATGTCTTTAATAATCTCTTGATTTTTATTAAGTTTTTTCATTCAATGATTAAAACTATAAGAAATAAAATGTTTATATAAAATATAAATCAATAATGAATTTAAATCACAAAACAATACTTACATTAATTTATAATTGTTTTGAAAACTACTGTATATTATATATATGTAAAACACTTAGTTTTAAATAATTGCAGTCGTATGTAGTTTAATAATATTAAAAACTTTATTTAAAAAATATAATTATTCAAATTAAATCAATTACCGTAATTTGAAAAAATATATTTACAATAATTGTATATAAATATTAACTAAAAGCAAAATTATTTTAATAATACAGTATACTACACTCACAACCAAAAGCGTAGAGTTTTACACTTTTTTGCCTTTTAGGGTATTTTTTATCGCTTTTCTCTAAAATAAAACGAGTAAAAAAAGTGTAATTTTTTTTGTAATTTTTTTGTAAAAATTTAGGTCAAGTTTAGCGTAAAAAAATACGCTTTTTTATTAGTAAAATATTGTAAAAAATTAGAGTAAATTTTGCCTAAAATTAAGTATATTAATTACATTTCTAAGAGAAATTATTTTTCATTTTTTAATGTAAAATTATTCAAAAAAATATCTTTTTAAAAAATACACAATATTTATTTTATTTATAATAATTTATTTTAAATTTAATAAAATACATATACTTTTATTATAACATATACTAATATTTATATAATAACTACATTAAGAAACAATAATTTTTCTAACATTTAGATTAACTTAAATTAATATTTATATACATTTCAATCAATAATATTGTTTATCGCAGTCTTTAATTGGTCTGTAATATTAAAAATAAATTAATAGTTAAGTAATTGTTAATAATGTATATAAACAAAGATATTTTTGTTAATATTATTCATTAAAATAAAATGTATATACCTTGAATCTATTAAATATAAATAAATTAAAATAAAATGTATAATACATATAATAACATACCTTGAATCTATTAGATAAATAAATATAAAAATTATTATTTAAAATATACATTCAATACATATTATTATATTACTGTACAGACATTTAAGTATTAGATATTTATATTTTAATTAAAATTATATGTAATAACTAAACAAAGATATCTTTGTTTAGTTATTAAATTTAATATACCTTTATATATGTGAAACCAAAACTTTTAAGTGTAACTTATATTTATTTATGAAAAACATTTACTTTACTTAATTCAAACAAAATTTGTTTAGTCATCCATTGATGCACTGTATATCATACACACCATTACAACACTATAGTAATCAAACAGTTTTAATAGTGTGCTTACAGTACTAACGTTTTAAATAGATATCTATTTAAAACGTTTTCAATGAAAGTGTTATTTTTACGCTCAATACTCTAATGTCTACAAAAAAATACACTAAATTTAACATTCAGTACATAACCGATAGGGTATTTATTTACACTTTTTCACACTTTTATTGTTACAGTAAATACCCTAAAATACACTATAAGTTTAGTGTGTATAGTACTTATAAATTACCGGTAATTGTAATTCAATGTTTTGTATAATTATTGTACCGGCTAAGTATCGGTAAATTAAAAATTTTAATAATAATAATAAATAAAATATTTTTAAAAATTTAGTCAAATCTCAAAATACTGTATATACGCTTCCGGTAATTAATAAATTAAGATTATTGACAATAATTAACTGACCAATAACTTATTTAACCCAAATATTTAATATTTTATTTTTTTTAATTTACTATCAATTTAATTAAGTTAGTATTAGAAAATTATATATTTAATTCAAACTAATATAAGTATAGTTAATAATATAAAACTTGTAAAAATTGTATTAAACTATATTGAATAAAATTTTTAAAAAATGAGATAATTAAACTACTGTATATATTATAGCATAATTTTTTTATGAAAAACAAATAACCAAAAAAAGCCAGATATTACCAATTGGTGTATAAATGTTTGGATCAAATAAGTTTGGGTTAAATGGTTTGGGTTTAATAAGTTTGGGTCAAATGAATGTTATCGATAATTTATAAACTATTTATAACATTATACCTATAAATAACTAATAGATGTCAACAATAGTAATGTGTATTTGAATCAACAAATAATACTGTATTATAAATATTATAATTGTAAGCACAGCATAAAAACATATATTAACCATAGATTTAATAAAATATATATACATATAAACTATAGTTAATGGGTATAATAGTTATGTTATACTTTAAGCCACACCTCTATTAGTATTACACATACAAAACATTGAGTGTATGTTTGTATACATGTATTGAAAACATGTGTTATTTTTTTGGTGCGATTTATAAATTGATTTAATGTTTGTTTTTGTTTGTTGAATACAATTATTATTATTATTATTATACCAATTGATTGGATAAATTAATGCAAGTATTAGTAGTTTTTTGTCATTGAATTCACATTTTTTTATCGATTTAATTATTTTTGATATTTTTTAGTTAAAATATTATACATTTATAATTGAATCACAAAAATTGAAATTTAAAAATCAAAAGACTATTTGAAGAGATCAAAGAAAATAAAAGTGAAGATCACTGAAGATAATGACCAGTGATGACAGCAATGAACGACTCGTTTGATCGCTTCGGCGATGATTTGGCGGAACTATTGCTTCAATATCTGCCAATCGATGACAGACTAAGACTACAATCGGTGTCCAAACAGTGGTTGGCATTGATATTCAATCAGGGTTTTTAGTAGAGACTATACATGTGGTAAAATACTGTAACGTAACTAGCGTTGCCAGCTAAAAAATAGTAAATACTATATATTTTATAAATCATATATTAATCATTATTTAAGAGCTCTAAATCCTTTATTTATTATAATTTATTATTATTATTATTATTATTATTTATTAATCTGTAAAAATAAACTAAATTATAAATATAGTAAATAAATTAAAAATATTTATTTAATTATATTCACAAAAATTTATTATATAACTATTTTATTATATAATACCTTTATTATACAGTATTATTTTAATAAAATAATATATTATAATTTTAATAAGATATTCTAATTAAAATAAATTTATTAAAATTCCTTTATATATAAAATCAATTTTATATTCAATCGGACACAAAACATTATTATAATATATAACATTAGTATTAGTATTATCAATAAAATTAACATTATTTTTAACAATTGATAATTTATGTATTAAATAAAAATTATTATAATTAAGATATTGAGCTTTAATTAAATACTCAGATAAACATGAAATTTTATATTTATTATTACATATTTGATGTTCCATTTCTAAGAAATCAATAGCCACTTCGAATGTAAGTTTATTAATCATATATATATATCAGTATATTAATAATAAAAATTTTTAAAAACAAACTTAATATCCTTAAAAAACTAAAATAAATAAAATATTAATTATTAAAACTAATAAAATTAAAACTATTAAATAAATAAAATAACGTACTTTGAAACAACAATTATAAAAAATAAATTATAAAAATCTTGTTTACATAATTGATTATATTATATAAATATAAAATAAAAATAATTGATTATTATTATCACAATTTTTTAAAAAATTAATTGTTATTATGTTAAATGTTATAAAAATAATTTTATTAATTAAAAATATTATCATAAAATCTTACTCTAAATATTTAATTTTTATTATTTAAAAATAAAATCACATTTTAATTAAGATTTAAATGTTTTTAATAATTTCTTTAATAAACATTATTTAAAATAAATTTTAGATAATTATTTAAAAAATTATTAATTTATAACTGCTTATGAATTAATTGATATTTAAAAACTGTAGTTATTAATTTTTAAATTATTAGATTTTTTAAAAAAAATTTTGTAATACTTTTTGTTTAACCATTAAGTCAATGGATTATTTTTTAAAATTTATTTTTCATCTACATTGAATTATACCAGTCAGAGACAAGGTCTGATTTATAGTATATAAATAATAAATTTTTATAAAAAATAAGTGTAAATTTTGTTGTTGTTGGCAACACTATATAGTATACTGTGTATTAATAAGTCAATGCATTGATATATACTGTATGCTTGTATGCACTAATTGTATATGTGATGTCATTTTTACCTCTACATTGATACCACATCTGCTATTGGCTGAACCACCTCGTAGTGCTTTACTTAATACACTGTATTCAATACACAAACTGATCTCATATTTGATGGCAAACTATTGGAAACATTGTCTGTGAACTTAACAGATAATAAACAAACTATTGATTTGTTTGAATTGTTGGTCAAAAAGTGTCCAAACATTCAAACAGTTATTATAAAAGATATCTCATATTCTGTTAATTATTTTGAATTATTAATGAAATACTGTTCACAATTGAAACACATATGTCTTAAGTATAGTAATCAAATTGTTTGGGAAAGTTATCGCAAATCATTTGATTGTTTTTGTCTGCAATTTGGCCAACAATTGCAGACATTCAAGATTGACTTCAAACACATCGAAAGCACTAAACAATTGTTTTATAAATGTCTGAAATGTTTGCCAAACTTGAAGACTATTGATATTAAGACTAACGGGAAGACAAGTCTAGGATTGGATGTCATATTAGCCGGCTGTAAGTTATTGCCGAAAACTATACGATCATTAACACTAAGATTGGACAACAATTTTATTAAATTATTTACTAAATTTACAATCATTTACGGACAACAAATCAGATCATTGAATCTGTTGGATGTAATGCTCGATAAACACAAAGATCAGAACAATTTGAAGATATTATCTGCCGGTTTGTCACAAATGCAACAATTGAAACAACTGGCCATCAGTTTGCCCAATGATTTTGACACCAATCAGACCGTTGGACTGTTGGCAACAATTGGCCGCCGGTGTCGACAACTGAAACAGTTTTACATTTCAACAAACATATTAATGGCTAATACAGTTGACATGTTTGCCGCAATCAATGAACATATGTCACCGCAATTGAGACGATTATCAGTGAATTGTTATCCCAATTACGATAAAAAGTTAGTACTGACCAGCGGTTCGTTACAACGATTGTACCGATTGACTCATTTGGCATTTCGCGTACACAAATGGCGTATAATCGGTGACCAGTTTTCCGTAACATTCATCTGAATCTTCCGCGACTACAGTATATCAGATGCGACAGAGTGTCCATTACTGAGAAGTCGATTCAAGCTATGGGACAGTTGGCTCACCTCATGGATGTCGATATTAGATGCGAGCAAAAGAAACTCAAGACAAGCAAAGCATTTATTTTACAGCATTTACTAATCGGTACTAAAGTTAAACACTTGTATATTAAGGATTGGTCGGCAGATAGTCGGCAAAAACCGTTTATTTACGGGAAATATATTAATAATAATTTTAATTACCCGAACCGTATACACAATGATAATGATAGTGACAGTAGTGACAGTATTTTAATTGATAATTTAATAGCTATTCATATTGAAATACATAATAATAATAATAATTTGTAATAATAATTACTGTAATAATAAAATTCATTGATTACATTTCAATTACGGTAATATACTGTATAGTTATAAAATGCATATATTTTTTTAATTATAATTTTTTTAAATCCATATTTTTTTATCTATATATATATATTATATATATTTTTATAATAATAATAATAATTGTATTATTAATTTTACATTTTTATTGATTTAACCGAAAAGTTAGTACTACTGACCAGCGATTACCTAAAAATAAATAAATTATATGTTTGTAACATTACTTTCAAGTAATGATTAATAATAATAATAATAATAATAAATACTTTTAAAACTTTTATCATTAAAGTTAATACAAATGATTTTTTATCTCTCTCTCTCTCTCTCTCTCTTAATTTAAATAATTTATTAAAAATTAATTAACTATTTGTTGTATAAATTGATAAATAAATAAGAATTTGTTTCATTGCTAAAAAAATGTTTGCAATTATAAAAAATAATAATAATTAAAAGTAATAAAATATAATTATATTATTTTTATATAATATTTTTTTTAATAACTAATAGATGTCATCAAATAATATGTATAATGTATTACATCAACAAATAATACAAATAAACATAATTGTAAGCATAGTATGAAAACATATATATATTGTACTAACCATAGATTTTATGTAATATATATACATATAAACTATTAGTTAATGGGTATAATAGTTGTATTAAATTATAAGCCACACCTCTATTAGTATTAAACATACAAATATTAATATAAAAACTTTATATACGTATAAATAACTTGTTGTGTAAATGTAATGCAATGTTATGTGTATTGATATTATTAATAATATTTATTATTTAATTACTGTATTAAAGTTAAAGTCAGTCAATAACTGTATTATTATTTGCATTTAATTAATAAATATAGTTTGAAATTAATTAATTAATTGTTTATTATAATGTTTGTATTAATGTATTGATTCAGTGATTGTATATATAATATACAGTAGTTTTCAAAAACAATTATAAATTAATGTAAGTATTGTTTTGTAATTAAATTCATAATTGATTTACATTTTATATAAACATTTTATTTCTGTTTTAATCATTGAATGAAAAAAATAAATTAATAAAAATCAAGAGACTATTTAAGACATAAAAAGAAAGATAACTGAAGACAATGACCACAAAAACCACAACAGTAATGACACCGAAGGACTCGTTTGATCGCTTCGGCGATGATTTGGCGGAACTATTGCTTCAATATCTGCCAATCGATGACAGACTAAGTCTGGAATCGGTGTCCAAACAGTGGCTGACATTGATATTCACTACTGAAACACATTTGGTTTTTGATAGAAAACTAAGGGAGAGATTGTTTGGTAAGAACTCATTGATTAATAAGAAACAAACTTTGAATTTGTTTGAATCAATTGTCAAAAAGTGTCCAAACATTACTACAATCACTATAAAAGATACACATTTTACTGACGATTACTTTAAGTTATTTAATGATAACAAATACTGTTCCCGATTGACACACATTAGTCTTAATCACAGCAGTTATCTCTATCACAACAGTTATGGCAAATCATTTGATTTATTTTGTCAACGATTTGGTCAACAATTACAGACATTGAAAAGTAATGGCATAGATATCACCAATAAATTGTTTCCTAAATGTATGGATAGTTTTAGAAATTTGAGGACATTGGACATCACTATATGGGAAGAAAGTCTGGGATTGAATGTTATATTTACTGACAATAAGTTGTATTCATTGCCAAAAACTATGCAATCATTTACACTAAGACTGGACAACAATTTTATCAAATTATTTACTAAATTTACGACCACTTATGGCCAACAAATCAGATCATTGACTCTATTGCCTGATTATCTGGAAGATGAAAACAACTTCAATACACTGACAGTCGGTTTGTCACAAATTCAACAATTGAAACAACTGTCCATTATTTTACCAAATTATTTTGGCACCGATCAGACCATTCAACTGTTGATAACAATTGGCCGCCGGTGTCGACAACTGATAGAGTTTAGCTATACATCGAAAGTGTCACGAATTTACTTAAACCAAATATTTGTGTCAATCAATGAACACATGTCACCACAATTGAGACGATTATCACTGGGTTGTTGTCCCATATATGACCAACAGTTTCCACTGACCAGCGGTTCGTTAAAACGATTGCATCGATTGACACATTTAACACTTCGTATATACAATCAGCGGATAATCGGTGACTCTTTTTTCAGTAATATTGACCGCAATCTTCCGCGACTACAGTATATTAAATGTAACACTTTGTCTATCACTGAGAAGTCCATCACTGCTTTGGGACAGTTGGCACACCTCATGGATGTTTATCTTCCGTGCGATGCAAACAAACTGAAAACAAGTGAATCATTTCTAACCAATCATTTACTAATTAAGAGTAAATATATGAAACACTTGTATACTAACTATTGTTCATCAAATGGTGGGACAAAACATTTTATTTATGGCAAATATATTAATGATAATAATGTTAATAACCGGATGCGTAATATACAGTAGTAGTAGTGATGACAGTGATTAAGATTACTGTAAGCTATGATTTATATGATTTTGTCGCTAATGTTAACAATAATATTATTTTAGTTTAAATACTATTACTGTAATATCAATGCTTAATCAATAATTAATTTGAAAACTAAATTTTTAAAAATATTTATTATTATTAGATTTTTTTTCTTATAGATATATAATAATAATAATTTTCTATAACTTAAAAAATTATTTAATCTCTAATTTACAACTATTAATAATTTTGATTTTTAAAAAATATTATTTTTTTGTAATTATTTTTTAATTGTTAATATTAATGTAATTAAATTATAATAAAATTTATTACATTACCCTGGTGCACTGTTAGTATTTTATATCAAAATTATTAAGTTACAAAAATAACTACTACTAGATGTCAATATCTTTAAATATTTAACTATCCAAACTAATAGTTAGTTTTATTTTTAATTGTAATTTAAATATAGTTCATAAAATTGTTTTATTATTATATGTTTGTATTTATTCATTGATTGATTTGCATATAATGTTTGCTTTTTCATTACAATTATTATTATAACAATTGAATTAAAAATCAACGTAAGTATTAGTAGTGTTGTTATTGTCATTGAATTAACATTTGATTTATACTTTTAAAAAAACATATGATTTGATTATTATATTTCTAATATTGTTTTTTAGACAATATATTAATATTTATTAGAATTGAATGAAAATCAAGACATTTATGACAACAGCAATGAAGGACTCGTTTGATCGCTTCGGCGATGATTTGGCGGAACTATTGCTTCAATATCTGCCAATCGATGACAAACTAAGACTACAATCGGTGTCCAAACAGTGGTTGGCATTAATATTCAATACACAAACACATCTGGTATTTGATGGCAAACTATTGAATAGTATTAATCAGTGGTCTTTTAATAATAAGAAACAGATTAAAGATTTGTTTGAATTGTTGGTCAAAAAGTGTCCAAACATTACATCAGTTACTATAAGTTTTATTCATTATTTTGTCGATTATTTTGAATTATTAATGAAATACTGTTCCCAATTGAAACACCTATCCATTAGTCATATATGTCTTAATTCGCATTATTGGCAAAAATATAGCCAAACATTTGATTGTTTTTGTCGCCAATTTGGCCAACAATTGCTGACATTCAAGTTTACCGAAAGAAAAAAACGAGAAATTAATGAACAATTGTTTTATAAAAGTTTCTATAGTTTGACAAACTTGAAGACTGTAGACATACGTATAAATTGGCGAAAAACAATGGGTTTGGATATCATAACTTTTGACAATAAATCGTATTTATTGCCAAAAACTTTACAATCACTGTCACTAAGAATAGATCCAATTATTTTTAACCAATTGTTTACTAAATTTACGACCACTTATGGCCAACAAATTAGATCATTGAATCTATTGGTCGATAAATTTACAGAATTGGATAATTTCAAGACATTGACAACCGGTTTGTCACTAATGCAACAATTGAAACAACTGGCCATTAGATTGCCCGTCGATTTTGGTACCAATAATTCCGTTAAAGTGATGACCATAATTGGCTGCCAGTGTCGACAATTGAAAGAGTTTAGCTATTTATCTAAAGAGTTGTCGAGTGATTTAATGGACAAAATATTTGTGGCAATCATTGAACATATGTCACCACAATTGAGACGATTATCAGTGGATTGTTATCCCAAATACGATGAAAACTTATTGCTGACCAGCGGTTCGTTTAAACGATTTCATCGATTGACACATTTGTCACTTTGCGGATCCTATTGGCGATTCATTAGCGACTGGTTTTTCCGAGATATTCATCTGAATCTTCCGCGACTACAGTCAATACACTGCGACAGTGTGTCCATCACTGATGAGTCTATCATCGCTTTGGGACAGTTAGCACATCTCACGGATGTCTATTTGGTTTGCGATTCAAACAAACGATTGACAACTAATGATGCATTTCTATCCAAACATTTACTAATTGGTAGTAATATTAAGCATTTGTTTATTAAGTATTGGCCGTCAAATAATCCAAATCGCTTTAGTTATGGAAATAGCAATTATTTTTAATTGCAATCAATCAGTAATAATGATTACCGCAATTGTGTTCAATAATTAAACAGATTAGCTATAATTTGTTTATAATATTATTTTTTGATGATTACCCAGGGTAATATTATTATTATTATTTAAATTTACTAATTAATATAATAGAGTATTAATGATTGATAAATAAAATGACTAATAAAATGATTTATTTTTTTACAAATTTCACTATCAATGCTATAACACTATTAAAAAAAATAATACATTAATAATTAGGTTTAAAATATTTTAATAACCATAATTAAAAACTATGAATCACAAACAAAATATATAAAATTATAAATAGCAATAATTAAATCTAAAGTAAATATTATATCTATAGATATTGTATTTATTATTGTTATTTTTAAAAATATTATTTAATCTATAATTTACGGCTATTAATAATTTTGATTTATATAACTATTAGTAATACTTAGTAATTATTATAATATTAGTAAAATTTATTAAATTACCCGGGTGCACTGTTAGTATTTTATATCAAAATTATAAATATAATAAACTACAACTAGATGTCAATATCTTAAAATATTAGTCAAAAAACTAATAGTTAGTTAAAAATTTTAATTACTAATTAGTAATTTAAATATAATTCATAAAATTGTTTTATTATATGTTTGTATTAATCATTGATTGATTTTGCATATATTGTGTGCTTTTTTGAATACAATTATTATTATTATAAGATTTGAATTGAATTGAAAATCAATGTAAGTATTAGTAGTGTTGTTATTGGCATTGAATTTACATTTGATTTATAATTTTTTTAAAAACATATGATTTGATTGTTATATTTATTTCTGATTTTTTTTGACAATATATTAATATTCATTTGAATTGAATGAAAATCAAGACATATATGACAACAGCTAAGGACTCGTTTGATCGCTTCGGCGATGATTTGTGTCAACTATTGTTGACTTATCTGCCGATTGATAGCAGATTAAGACTACAATCGGTGTCCAAACAGTGGTTGGCATTGATATTCAATACGGAAACACATCTAGTATTTGATGACAAACTATTGAAATTGTTTGATAAGAAATCATTGATTAATAATAAGAAACAAACTTTGAATTTGTTTAAATCAATTGTCAAAAAGTGTCCAAACATTACAACAGTCATTATAAATGATTTTAATGGCGATTACTTTAAGTTATTAAATAATAAGAAATACTGTTCCCGATTGACACACATTAGTCTTAAGCACATCAGACATAACTTTCGCAACAGTTATGGCAAATCATTTGATTTATTTTGTCAACGATTTGGTAAACAATTGCAGACATTCAAGATTAATGGGTACCGTATCAAAGGTGCCGATCTATGGTTTCCTAAATGTATGAATAGTTTTAGAAATTTGAAGACATTGGACATCAATATACAGGGAATAAGTATGAGATATGATGTTATATTTGCTGACAATAAGTTGTATTCATTGCCGAAAACTATGAAATCATTTACACTAAGACTGGACAACAATTCTATCAAATTATTTACAAAATTTACGACCACTTATGGCCAACAAATCAAATCATTGAATCTATTTGGTGATGATCTGAATGATGAAAATACCTTCAATACACTGACATCAGGTTTGTCACAAATGGGACAATTGAAACAATTGGCCATTAGTTTGCCCTATTATTTAGTCGCCGATCAGATCATTGAACTGTTGACAACAATTGGCCGCCGGTGTCGACAACTGAAACAGTTTAGCTATACAACGATTGTGTCACGGATTGACTTAAACCAAATATTTGTGTTAATCGCTAAACATATGTCACCACAATTGAGACGATTATCAGTTGATTGTTATCACAAATATGACAAACAGTTACCACTTACCAGCGATTCGTTAAAACGATTGCATCGATTGACACATTTAACACTTCGTGTATACAATTGGCAGATAATCGGTAACTCTTTTTTCAGTAACATTTACCGCATTCTTCCGCGACTACAGTATATACACTGCGACTGTGTGTCCATTAATGCTGAGTCTATCATCGCTTTGGGACAGTTGGCACACCTGACGGATGTCTATCTGGTTTGCGATCAATACAAACTGATAACAAATGAATCATTTCTATCCAAACATTTACTAATTGGTAGTAATATTAAGCAATTGTTTATTAAGTATTGGTCGTCACATAATTATGTGATTAAACCAAAATACTTTTGTTATGGAAATAGTAATTATTTTTAATTACAATCAATCAGTAAATAATTGATAGCAATAATGATTACCATAATATGTGTCCAATAATTAATGATTAGATATAATTTGTTTATAATATTATTTTTTGATGTTTACCCGCGGATAATATTATTATTTAAATTTGTAATCTTTATTCTACTTATATATTAATGATTGATAAATTAAATGACTAATAAAATGATTTAATTTTTTACAAATTACACTATCAATGCTATTGATGCCATTGATTTATGATAAAATAATTAATGTTATATCAACAGGTATAATGTATAATACAATTTTATATATAAATTATAAATATAGTAATAATAATAATTATAATTATCATTAATACTATTCATTTATGACTTTATTCACTATCACTATCTGTATATTATAATCATAACTAACATCATTAACATCATTACCGGTACTATTAATTTGGTAATTATTATGAAAATATTTACCGCATTTAAACACCAATTGTCTACCTATTGAATCATTGTATTCAATAAATAAATGTTTAATTTTTGTACCAATTAGTAAATGGCGTCCTAACCAACTGTTATCTTGTTGTGCTTTCACAACACACGGCAATATAATACAGTGTATAATAAAAAGTATATTTTATTTAATTATTATTTATTTAATAAATTAAAATTATTAATAATCGCGCGACACATATAATATAATAATTGTTTGCGTCACACAAATTTGGTATAAATTATATGTAGTATTAATAGTATAGATCACAAAATTTGAAATTTAAAAATCAAAAGACTATTTGAAGAGATCAAAGAAACAAAAGTGAAGATCACTGAAGATAATGACAACAACAACAACACCAGTGATAACAGCAATGAATGACTCGTTTGATCGCTTCGGCGATGATTTGGCGGAACTATTGCTTCAATATCTGCCAATCGATGACAGACTAAGACTACAATCGGTGTCCAAACAGTTCAAGTCATTGATATTCAATACGGAAACGCATCTCCTATTTGATGAAAAATTATTGAAGAAGTTTTTTGGTATAAAAGCATTCATTAATAAGAAACAAACGATGAAAGTCTTTAAATTCATTGTCAAAAACTGTCCAAACATTACAACAGTCACTATAAGTGATCCATATTTTACTGCCGAATACTTTAAGTTATTAAATAATAAGAAATACTGTTCCCGATTGACACACATTAGTCTTAATCATTGGGATTATTTCTATTACCCCAGTTATGGCAAATCATTTGATTTATTTTGTCAACGATTTGGTCAACAATTGCAGACATTCAAGATTAACGCCAAACGACTCAATGGTGGCAATCAATTGTTTCCTAAATGTATGAATAGTTTTAGAAATTTGAAGACATTAGACATCAATATATGGAGAGAAAGTCTGGGATTGAATGTTATATTTGCTGAATATAACAATAAGTCGTATTCATTGCCAAAAACTATGCAATCATTGACACTAAAAGTGGATAACAGTTATATTGAGTTATTTACTAAATTTACGGATATTTATGGCCAACAAATCAAATCATTGAATCTATCAATTTATGGTAAACTTGAGGATGAAAACAACATCAAAACACTGACATCGAGTTTGTCACAAATGCAACAATTGAAACAACTGGCCATTAGTTTGCCCGAAGATTTTGGCACCGATCAGACCATACAACTGTTGACAAGAATTGGCCGCCGGTGTCGACCACTGATAGAGTTTAGATATAACTGTATATTTAAATTGCATCCGACTGTACTTATGATTGTAAACCAAATATTTGTGACAATCAATGAATATATGTCACCACAATTGAGACGATTATCACTGGGTTGTAGTCCCTTCTATGAACAACAGTATTCATTGACCAGCGGTTCGTTAAAACGATTGCATCGATTGACACATTTAACTATTCGTGTATACAATCTGCGGATAATCGGTGACTGTTTTTTCAGTAATATTCACCGCAATCTTCCGCAACTACAGTATATAAAATGCGACAGATTGTCCATTACTGAGATGTCGATCACTGCTTTGGGACAGTTGGCACACCTCATGGATGTCTGTCTCACGAATCATCCAAAAAAACTGAAAACAAGTGAATCATTTCTAACCAATCATTTACTAATTGGTAGTAAATATATGAAACACTTGTATATTACCTATTGGTCATCAAATAGTCCAAAACAGTTGATTTATGGCAAATATCTTAATGATGATAACCTTACCCGTAATGATAATATATACTGTAGTAGTAATGACAGCGATTGAGATTACCGTAAGCTATGATTTACATTTTTGTCGTTAATGTTAACAATAATATTATTTTTGTTTAAATACTATTATTTATAATATCAATGTCTAATCACAATCACTATTATTAATAGTATTCAATAATTAATTTGAAAACTAAATTTTCGTTGTATTATTGTATTATTATTATTAAAATTTTGATTTATATAATTATTATTAATTTTTTTTGTAAATTTTTTAATTACAATAAAATTTATTAAATTATCCAGGTGCACTATTAGTATTCTATATCAAACTTATTATGTTATAAAAATAACTACTACTAGTTGTCAATATCTAAAAATATCAGTAAAAACTAATAGTTTGTTTCAAATTTTAATTGTAATTTAAATATAGTTCATAAAACTGTTTAATTATATGTTTGTATTTATTATTTGATTGTTTTGCATATAATATTTGTTTTTTTGAATATAATAATAATTATTATTATAAGATTTGAATTGTACTGAAAATTAATGTAAGTATTAGTAGTGTTTTTATTGTCATTGAATTCACATATAATTTAATTAATATATTTCTAATATTGTTGTGTCCAATAATTAATGATTAGCTATAATTTGTTTATAATATTATTTTTTGATGATTACCCAGGGTAATATTATTATTTAAATTTTTGTAATCATTATTCTACATATTGAATTAATACAATACTAATTAATATAATAGAGTATTAATGATTGATAAATAAAATGACTAATAAAATTATTTATTTTTTACAAATTACACTATCAATGCTATAACACAATTAAAAAAAATTAATACATTAATTATTAGGTTTAAAATATTTTAATAACCATAATTAAAAACTATGAATCACAAACAAAATATATAACTATTAGTAATACTTAGTAATTATTAGTATTAGTAAATTTTTAAATTATAATAAAATTTATTAAATTACCAGGGTGCACTGCTAGTATTTTATATCAAAACTGTAAATATACTACTACTAGATGTCAATATCTTAAAATATAAGTCCAAACTAATTGTAATTTAAATATAGTTCATAAAATTGTTTTATTATATGTTTGTAATTATTCATTGAATGATTTGCATTTAAGGTTTGCTTTTTCAATATAATTATTATTATAACAATTGAATTGTATTATATTTTATATCAAAACTATAAATATAATAAACTATTATTTAATCAAAGATTTGAATTTAAAATCAATGTAAGTATTAGTAGTGTTGGTATTGTCATTGAATTATTGTAATTAAACATATGATTTGATTATTACAGTATATTTCTAATATTGTTTTTTAGACTATATATTAATATCAGGGTTAAGCAAGGTTTTGGATTTTAGGGGGGGGGGTAGACCGGGGTAAAATTTGCAAAATTCTCGAAAAATCTTGGGGGGGGGTATTGGGTGGGGTAAGATTTTTATTGCATTTTTAAACGGCAATTTTTTCAAAAATCCAAAATCAAGGGGGGGTCCAGAGAAAATTTCCTAATATTCCCTTAAATTCCCGAATATTCCCATGTAAATTAAGGAAAATTCCCATAAGTTCCCGTATAAGTTCCCAGGAAAATAGGTAAAATTTCCAAAAATATTAAAAAAATTAAAAATTAATAAAAAACTTAAATTTTAACAAAAAATAAATATTTTTTGAAAAAAAATTAAAAAATTAATAAAAACTAAAATTTTTACAAAAAAGTAAAATAATGTATTTTTGATTTAAAAATAGTTGATAAAAGCATTTATGATACACAATGAGTTATTTTTTGTATTTTAATAATTTTTAACTTTTAACAATTAATTTTTTAAATAATACTTAATGTTTATAGTTTATTATATATTTTTAAAATGTTTTTTATACAAATACTGACTGAATACTACTTATTTAACTCAATTTTCGTTAAAGTTTTAGTTATATTAAGTATAAAATTGAAAATATTTTTAAATTTAAATTTAAAAATTATTAATAAAAAACTTATAATATAAGTATTTATTGTTTTATTAACTTCCTAAACTATCTTAAACTTATATTTAAATTGTAATATGATTACTCTTTTCAACAAATGGGTAATTTTTAATTTTTTAGATTATTTTAATTAAAATAATGTTATTTTTGGATGAGTTTTAACGTTATTTTAACTATTTTTAATCAATAATTAGATTCTTATAAATATTAAAAACATAAAAACACTAAATAAAATAGTATCAACTAAAATTAAAATTTTTATAAATCTCAAAAAAATTTTCGGCGCCTTCGGCGCCGAAATTTTAGGGGGGGGGGGGGTCATTTCTCGTCGTTTTTAAGCGACAATTTTTCCAATTTGGTCAAAAAGTCTGGGGGGTAAAATCCCAATTTCTCGAGCTTAGGGGGGGGTATTTTGGCCTTACCCCCCTACCCCCCCCTTACTTAACCCTGATTAATATACATTTGAATTGAATGAAAATCACGACATATATGACAACAGCTATGAAGGACTCGTTTGATCGCTTCGGCGATGATTTGTGTCAACTATTGCTTCAATATCTGTCTCTAGAAGACAGACTAAGACAGCAATCGGTGTCCAAACAGTGGCAGTCATTGATATTCAATACACAAACATATCTTGTATTTGATGACATACTATTGAATAAATTGTTTGATAAGAACTCATTGATTAATAAGAAACAAACTTTGAAATTGTTTAAAACAATTGTCAAAAAGTGTCCAAACATTACAACAGTCACTATAAATGATTTTACTGCCGATTACTTTAAGTTATTAAATAATAACAAATACTGTTCCCGATTGACACACATTAGTCTTAATCAAAGCAGATATCACTATCAGAACAGTTATGGCAAATCATTTGATTTATTTTGTCAACGATTTGGTCAACAATTGCAGACATTCAAGATGTCTAACGGCAGACGAATCAAAGGTGACGATGAATTTTTTCCTAAATGTATCGATAGTTTTAAAAATTTGAAGACATTGGACATCACTATATGTGGAGGAAGTCTGGGATTGAATGTTATATTTGCTGACAATAAGTCGTATTCATTGCCAAAATCTATGCAATCATTGACACTAAGACTGGACAACAATTTTATCAAATTATTTACTAAATTTACGACCACTTATGGCCAACAAATCAGATCATTGAATCTATCAGTTTATGATAAACTTGAAGATGAAAACAACTTTAAGACACTGACAGCCGGTTTGTCACAAATGCAACAATTGAAACAATTGGACATTAGTTTACCCGTAGATTTTGGGAACGATCAGACCATTCAACTGTTGACAAAAATTGGCCGCCGGTGTCGACAACTGAAACAGTTTGGTTATTCATTGAGAGATTCAACTATCGATTCAAACTTAATATTTGTGGCAATCGCTGAACATATGTCACCACAATTGAGACGATTATCAGTGAATTGTTATTATGAAAATGACAAACAGTTTCCACTGACCAGCGGTTCGTTAAAACAATTGCATCGATTGACACATTTAACACTTTTTGTATACAAACAACGGATAATCGGCGACTGTTTTTTCAGTAATATTCACCGCAATCTTCCGCGACTACAGTATATTAAATGTAACACTTTGTCCATCACTGAGAAGTCGATCACTGCTTTGGGACAGTTGTCACACCTCATGGATGTCTATCTCAAGAATGATGCAAATAAACTGATGACAACTAAATTATTTCTAACCAAACATTTACTAATTAGTAGTAAATATTTGAAGCACTTGTATATTAACTATTGTTCATCAAATGGTGTGAGAAAACAGTTTATTTATGGCAAATATCTTAATCATTATAATCTTGATGTTAATTACCGGATGTCTATATACAATAATAATAGTAGTAGTAGTAGTTATGACAGTGATTGGTGATTACCGTAGGCTATGATTTATATGATTTTGTCGCTAATGTTAACAATACTATTATTTTGTTTAAAAATATTTTAGTACTGTAATATCAATGCTTAATCAATAATTATTTGAAAACTAAATTTTCTTTAATATTTATTTTTATTACTATTAAAATTATTATTTTACTTACCCCGGTAATAATAATAATAATTTTCTATTACTTAAAAAAATTATTTAATCTATAATTTACAGCTATTAATAATTTTGATTTATATAAGTAGATATCTTAAAATATCAGCCAAAACTAATAGTTTGTTTCAAATTTTAATTGTAATTTAAATATACTTATTTTATATAATTAAATATAATTAAAATTTTTGTAATCTTTATTCTACATATATATTATATACAGTATATACAGTATTAATGATTGATAAATAAAATGATTAATAAAATTATTTATTTTTTTACAAATTACACTATCAATGGTATAACACATCTAAAAAAAACAAATTATTTAATCTATAATTTACAGCTATTAATAATTTTGATTTATATAACTAGTTTATATCAAAATTATTATATTATAAATATAATAAGTACTACTAAATGTCAGATATCTTAAAATATCAGTCAAAACTAATAGTTTGTTTCAAATTTTAATTGTAATTTAAATATAATTATTTTAAATAATTAAATATAATTTAAATTTTTGTAATCTTTATTCTACATATATATTATATATTTATATTTATAAAACTATTAGTAATTATTAGTAATAGTCTATTACTATTTTTTGTACTATTAAATTACCCGGATGCACTGTTTTATATCAAAATTATAAATATAATAAACTATTACTACTAATGTCAATACAGTATATTAAAATATCTGTTCAAACTAATAGTTAGTTTCAAATTTTAATTATAATTTAAATATAATTCATTAAATTGTTTTATTATATATTTGTAATTAATCATTGATTGATTTTGTATATATTGTTTGCTTTTTTTGAATACAATTATTATTATTGTAAAATTTGAATTGAATTGAAAATCAATGTAAGTATTAGTAGTGTTGTTATTGTCATTGAATTCACATTTGATTTTATACTTTTAAAAAACATATGATTTCTAAAACATTTGATAATTGTTTAGACAATATATTGAATAGAATTGAATGAAAATCACGACATATATGACAACAGCTAAGGACTCGTTTGATCGCTTCGGCGATGATTTGTGTCAACTATTGCTTCAATATTTTCAAATGGATGACAGATTAAGACTACAATCGGTGTCCAAACAGTGGTTGGCATTGATATTCACAACACAAACGGATCTCGTATTTGATGACAAACTATTGAAATTGTTTGGTATGAATTCATTCTTTAATAAGAAACAGACTTTGAAATTGTTTAAATCAATTGTCAAAAAGTGTCCAAACATTACAACAGTCACTATAAATGATTTTACTGCCGATTACTTTAAGTTATTAACTAATAATAAGTACTGTTCCCGATTGACACACATTAGTCTTAACCACAACTATTATCACTATCACAACAGTTATGGCAAATCATTTGTTTTATTTTGTCAGCGATTTGGTCAACAATTGCAGACATTCAAGATTAACGGCAAAAGCATCAAAGGTGGCGATGAATTGTTTCATAAATGTATTGATAGTTTTAGAAATTTGAAGACATTGGACATCACTACACGGGATAGAAGTATGGGATTGGATGTTATATTTGCTGACAATAAGTCGTATATATTACCGAAAACTATGCAATCATTAACACTTGGATTGGACAACAACTTTATCAAATTGTTTACTAAATTTACAGATATTTATGGCCAACAAATCAAATCATTGAATCTATTAGTTTATGATAAACTTAAAGATGAACACAACTTTAAGACACTGACAGCTGGTTTGTCACAAATGCAACAATTGAAACAACTGGCCATTAGTTTGCCCGTAGATTTTGGCACCGATCAAACTATTCAACTGTTGACAACAATTGGCCGCCGGTGTAGACAAGTGATAGAGTTTAGCTATACATCGAAAGTGTCGGGGATTGACTTAAACAAAATATTTGTGTCAATCGCTGAACATATGTCACCACAATTGAGACGATTATCAGTGGATTGTTATCACAAATATGACGAACAGTTTCCACTGACCAGCGATTCGTTAAAACGATTGCATCGATTGACACATTTAACACTTCATGTATACAATTGGCTGATAATCGGTGACTGTTTTTTGAGTAATCTTCACCGCAATCTTCCGCGACTACAGTATATTAAATGTGACTATTTGTCCATCACTCAGAAGTCCATCACTGCTTTGGGACAGTTGGCTCATCTGATGGATGTCTATCTCTTGTGCGATATAAACAAACTGAAAACAAGTGAATCATTTCTAACCAATCATTTAGTTATTAGTAGTAAATATATGAAGAACTTGTTTATTACCTATTGGTCATCAAATGAGTCAAAACGGTTTATTTATGGCAAATATCTTAATGATTATAATCTTAATGTTAATTACCGGAAGCGTATATTCAGTAGTGATAGTAGTAGTGATAAAAGTTATTGAGTGGTAGAAGTAGTAGTAGTAGTAGTAGTAGTAGTAGTAGTAGTAGTAGTAGTAGTAGTAGTAGTAGTAGTAGTGGTAGTAGTAGTAGTAGTAGTAGTAGTAGTAGTAGTGGTAGTAGTAGTTATAACAATGATTGAGATAACCGTAAGCTATGATTTAGATTTTTGTCGCTAATGTTAATAATAATATTATCTCTGTTTAAATATTATTACTGTAATATCAATGTTTAATCACAATTACTATTATTAATAAATTAATTAAAGATATTTACCCGGTTTATGTACGGTAATAATAATAATAATAATAATTTTCTATAACTTATTAACTATAATTGTTTAATCTATACTTTACAGCTATTAAAAAAAATTATTTATATAAATATTATTTTTTTGTCATTTTTTTGTAATTATAATAAAATATATTAAATTACCCGGGTGCACTGTTAGTATTTTATATCAAAATTATTATGTTATAAATATAATAAACTACTACTAGATGTCAATATCTTAAAATATAAGTCCAAACTAATAGTTAGTTTCAAATTATTATTAAAACAATTGAATTGAAAATCAGTTTAAGTATTAGTAGTGTTGTTATTGGCATTGAATTCACATTTGATTTATATTTTTTAAAAACATTTTTTTAATTAATTTATTTATTTCTGATATATTAAATGGCAAATCATTTGATTTATTTTGTCAACGATTTTGTCAACAATTGCAAATTTGAAGACATTGGACATCACTATAGGGGACGGAATTGTGAGATTGGATGTTATATTTGCTGACAATAAGTCGTATTCATTACCTATAACTAAGCAATCATTGGTAGTAAAAGTGGACAACAATTCTATCAAATTATTTACTAAATTTACGGATATTTATGGCCAACAAATCAAATCATTGAATCTATTGGCTGCTGATCTGAAAGATCAAAACAACTTCAATACACTGACATCCGGTTTGTCACAAATGCAACAATTGAAACAACTGGCCATTAGTTTGCCCTATTGTTTTCGCACCGATCAGATCATTCAACTGTTGACAACAATTGGCGGCCGGTGTCGACAATTGAAACACTTTAGCTATATATAGCATGTATACATCAAATGGGTCACGGATTGACTTAAACAAAATATTTGTGTTAATCGCTAAACATATGTCACCACAATTGAGACGATTATTAGTGTATTTTTATTACGAAAATGACAAACAGTTTCCACTGACCAGCGGTTCGTTAAAACGATTGCATCGATTGACACATTTAACACTTAATTATATGGTATACAATGAGCGGATAATCGGTGACTCTTTTTCCATAATATTGACCGCAATCTTCCGCGACTACAGTATATACACTGCAACAGTGTGTTCATCACTGATGAATCTATCATCGCTTTGGGACAGTTGGCACACCTGACGGATGTCTATCTGGTTTGCGATTCAAACAAACAATTGACAACAAGTGATCCATTTCTATCCAAACATTTACTAATTGGTAGTAATATTAAGCAATTGATTATTAAGTATTGGGCGTCAAATTGTCCAAAAAGCTTTAGTTATGGAAATAGCAATTATTTTTAATTACAATCAATCAGTAATAATGATTACCGCAATTGTGTCCAATAATTAACGATTAGCTATAATTTGTTTATAATATTATTTTTTGATGATTACCCAGGGTAATATTATTATTTAAATTTTTGTAATCATTATTGTATTGTACATACAGTATATATATATATAATTATTAATAAAATTATTTTTTTTTACAAATTACACTATCAATGCTATAACACAATTAAAAATAATAATAATTAGGTTAAAAATATTTTAATAACCATAATTAAAAACTATGAAAACATATAAATAATTACAATCAATCAGTAAATAATTGATAGCTAATAATGATTACCGTAATATGTGTCCAATAATTAATGATTAGATATAATTTGTTTATAATATTATTTTTTGATGTTTACTCGCGGATAATATAATATTAATTTGTAATCTTTATTCTAATTATATATTAATGATTGATAAATAAAATGATTAATAAAATTGTTTGTCTATCACTGATTAGTCGATTACTGCTTTGTGACAGTTGGCACACCTCATGGATGTCTCTGTCTCTGATCTACTTAGGCGTCGTTCACATATTACGTTCGCACTTTTTAAGAAATCTAGACCCCCTCCCTCCCCTATGTACGCAATTGTTCGCATGTAGTCATTTAAAAAAAATTACGTTCGCAAGTCCCTAACCGCTACCCCCCCCCCACACAAGAAATAAAATATTATCTAAATGCGAACGTTCTTAAAGACTATACCCCTCCCCTCCCCCTCGTTCGCAAAAGTTCGCTTTGGCCAACCCCCCCCCCTCACCTCAAGTGCGAACGTAATATGTGAACCACGCCTTAACGATTTACTACTAACTATTTAACTTTAAAACTAACATCTACTAACTTAATTTGTTTATAATATTAAATTTGTAATCTTTATTCTACTTATATATTAATGATTGATAAATAAAAATTTTAAATAAAAATTACACAATAAATGGTATATCAATTATATTTAAGTACAACTACAGTATAATACAACTATGTTTGACATATGTTTGTGAATTTTGGCAAATAAGTGGTTAAAATTTTATATAATTAATTAATTAATAAAATAATTAAAAACTAATGAAATACACCATAAATTACAGTTTAAATAAATAAATAAATTAATAACACATATTTAAATGACAAACAAATATCAAGTATAATAACTATTATAATAGCTATAATCTATAATTTAAGTGTTATAATTTTAATTAAATTGATTTATGATAAAATAATTAATGTTATATCAACAGGTATAATGTATAATACAATTTTATATATTATAAATATAGTAATAATAATAATAATTATTATAATTATCATTAATACTATTCATTTATGACTTTATTCACTATCACTATCTGTATGGCTATGAATATACTTATAAGCGATAAGATTATAATCATAACTAACATCATTAACATCATTACCGGTACTATTAATTTGGTAATTATTATGAAAATATTTACCGCATTTAAACACCAATTGTCTACCTATTGAATCATTGTATTCAATAAATAAATGTTGAATTTTTGTACCAATTAGTAAATGGCGTTTAATATAGGATTTACTTAATGTTACAGTGTATCGGTCGCACAGTAGATAGACATCCGTCAAATGTGTCAATTGTCCAATAGATGCTATAGACTGTCGAGTAATTGAAGCCCTGTCACAGTATAGATATTGTAGTCGCGGAAGATTGCGATGAATGTCCTGAAAAAACTGGTTACCGATTATCTGCCACTTATCTAATCTTAATGTCAAATGCGTTAATCCGTGCAATCGGTTTAACAAACGGCTGGTCAGTGATAACTCATTACAATCATAATCGGGCGAACAATCAACTGTTAATTGTCTTAATTGTTTGGACATATGTTTGTTAATTTTGGCAAATATGCGCTTAATTGTCAATATATTTGAAAATTTTGGTGAATAGTCTATGGATTTAAGTTGACGACAGTTGCGGCCAATTGTCGAAAATAAATTGACAGTAAATTGTGGCCCAAAATCCATCGGCAATTCAAACTTAAGTTGTCTTAATCGCGGCATTTGTCTAAATCCGGTTAACAATGGCTTCAAATTAACAGACCATTCGTCGTCTTCGTCCTCATCGACAACAATAGACTCGTCCAACTGTATGGTCAATGATATCAATTGATGGCCAAAATTATTGGCAAAATTACGGAATAACGGCATCGATAGTTCGTCCAGTTTTATGTTCAATGATTGCAACGATTTCGGTAACAAATAATACATATTATTATCAATAAATATATCATTCAATTGGACAGTACTTTCACTGTTGTTATCATTAGTTATATCCAATGTCTTCAGGTTAGGCAAACCGTCGATGACTTTGTAAAACAATTGTTTATTAAATTCATGATTATTGCCGTCAAACTTGAATGTCTGCAACTGTCGGCCGAAACGCCAGAATAATTGGTCAAACATACGGCCGATGACCAGTAGGTCGTAGTAATCAAATTTAATTGACAAGTGTTTCAATCGGTTAGAGTTTTTAGTCAATAAATTGATAAAACGGTTCATCATATGGACAGCACCGGCAAGTGTTGAACTAATAATAAAAAAATTAAAAATAATTAAATAATAAATAAAATCAGTTTTTGTCTATAAAATTATAATTTGTGTCACAATTATTAGTATTTTGTTTGTTTTTTTTTGTTTTTAAAAAAAAGTTCAAACATTTACCCGACATTTATGGTAACTGCGGTAATGTTCGGACACTTTCGGACAATCAGTTTAAACAATCTAATTGTCGGATAATAATCACGCATTGAATTCAAAGACATTGTTTCTAATAGTTTGCCATCAAATACAAGATCTGTTTGTGTGATAAATATCAATGTCAGCCACTGTTTGGACACCGATTGTAGTCTCAATCTGTCATCAATTGGCAGATATTGAAGCAATAGTTGACACAAATCATCGCCGAAGCGATCAAACGAGTCCTTCTTCTTCGCTGTTGTTGTGGTCATTGTCTTCTTCAGTGATCTTCAATTAGTTTATAAAATGTCTTCAAAAATATTCATTAATTTAAAGTATAATATAAATATAAAACTAATTATTATTATTATTATTGAAAAACAAATTAAAATATTGTAAACTACTGTACACTCTGTATATCATATAAACTAAAAAAAATTCAATTTAATTATTAAATATTTATTATTATTATCACTATTACTGTACTAAACGAAACATTAAGTAGTATTACATAACTGTATATAAATATTATTGTTATTAATATTATATTTTTTTTTGTTGACGCAATCATTGCAAACAATAATAATAAAATAATTTATGTTCAATTATATTTAAAACCAAAACAATTAGGGCCGCCCACTAATACAGTGTATATGCGCGCACAGTTTATAGTGTTTAATGCTTATGGGGGCGGAGTTTTTACTAAGCATAGAGTCTATATAATTACATAGTTATTTATACACAATATTTTATTTGTATGTATAATCTATAATCTATTTGTGTGTGTAATCTATGATAAATCTATATGTTTGTAGTGCTATTATACTATTTTGTTTTGGTTTTGAATATAATCGATATATGTACATATGTATTACACTATTGACTGTACATTAGTAACGTTTAGAAAATAGGAATTATTATTATAGAAATTTAGATAAGTTCCCCCCTCTATGTTATAGTTTACACATAAATTTATAATTATAAATTCCTTTATAATTGTAACTTTTAAAAAAATTATTTTTAAAAAATAAATCTAATATTTTATGTAAATATTTTAATAAATAAAAAATAATTTTCACCCCCTAACCAATATTAATAGTTCCAATAAAATAGGAGATAAAATAATATTTTTATTAAATAAAAATTAAAAGGGAATATATTTTTGGGGAACTTCTCTATAAATATATAAAGTTTTCATAATTTGTAAACATTATTACTGCACATGTGTTGTGTAAATGTAATGCAATGTTTGTATTGTTATTATTATTGTATTATTAAAAACTAATGTCAATCACTATATATTGTTAATAGTTTTTTGTGTTAATTAAATGGTTTTAATTAATTGATTTGTAAAAATCAAATGTAAGTATTAGTTAATAGTTTTATATTAATATATTTTTGTTAACTAATGATTTACAGCTGTATTTGACTTTTAAATGTCTTATAAAGAAATCAAAAGACTATTTTGAAGAGACTGTGAAAATCAATTGAAAAACAATGACAACAACAACAACAACACCAGCGATGATACCGTCGAAGAACTCGTTTGATCGCTTCGGCGATGATTTGGCGGAAATATTGCTTCAATATCTGCCAACTGATGACAAACTAAGACTTGAATCGGTGTCCAAACAGTGGCAGTCATTGATATTCAATGGACAAACTGATCTGGTATTTGATGGCAAACTATTCATGAATTTGAATTTAAACAACTCATTGATTGATGAAAAACAGACAATTAGTTTGTTGTTTGAATTATTGGCCAAAAAGTGTCCAAACATTACATCAGTTAATATAAGTTCAATCCGTTATTTAATCAATTATTTTGATTTATTACTGAAATACTGCCACCAATTGAAACACTTATTCATTAGTCATGTATGTCTTAATTCACACGATTGGATCAGTTATAGTCAATCGTTTGATTGTTTTTGTCGCCTATTTGGCCAACAATTACAGACATTTAAGTTTAACGTAAAATGTATTGAAACTAATGAACACTTATTTTATAAAAGTATCAATAGTTTGACAAACTTGAAGACTGTGGACATCATTATAAACTGGAAAACACGTTTAGATATCATATTAGCTAATTATGGCCAACAAATCAAACAATTGAATCTATCACTTGATGATGAACTTGAAGATGACAGCAACAACTTCAAGACACTAAGAGACTGTTTGTCACAAATGCAACAATTGAAACAACTGGCCATTAGTTTGCCCGTAGATTTTGGCACCGATCAGACCGTTCAACTGTTGACAACAATTGGCCGCCGATGTCGACAACTGTTAGAGTTTAGCTATTCATCAAACGAAACATCGATTGACTTAATTATCCAAATATTTGTGACAATCACTGAACATATCTCACCAAAATTGAGACGATTATCACTGAATTGTTGGCCTATATCTGGCGAAGAGTCCAATTATGACGAAGAGTTAGTAGTGATAACCAGCGGATCTTTGAAACGATTTTATCGATTAACACATTTGACACTTCGTGTAGGCTATTGGGGTATAATTGGAGACCAGTTTTTCCGTGATATTCACTGCAATCTACCGCGACTACAGTATATCAGATGCTTTGAATCGTCCATTACTGATGAGTCGATCCAAGCTATGGTACAGTTGGTACACCTCATGGATATCTATCTACTGTGCGATCCAAACAAACTGATGACAACTGAAATCATATCAATAATATCCAATCAATTACTAATCGATAGTAATATTAAGCACTTGTTTATCGAGTATTGGTTATCAAAACAGATGCAAAAAGATTTTGTTTGCGGCAAATATGATATCTAAAATTTTTTTTCATAAAATATTTAAAAAAAATAAAATAATTAATTAATGTTTAAAATAACTTATTATTATTATTATTATTATTATTTTGATCTTAATATATGATAATAGATAATACATAGAAAAACTTTATATAACACATTATTTTTAAAAATTTTATAATTAGAGTAATTAGAATTAATATATATTTTTTAATAACAATAATTTAATATAAAACAACTGTTGAAAACAATTTGAATAACTTATAATAATAAACTTATTTAAATAAAAATAATTATTAAACTAGTGTTGTGTTTACTGTATTTTAAAAATTGTTTATACTTGACTTACCGTATATTTAAAATATAAAATAATTTTTTTCGCCAACTATTAATAGAAAATACAAATAGAAAATTATATATATATTTTCCCCATTAATTTCCGGGTAAATTAAAAGGAATATAATATATATATATTATTTTTTTTTGAGGGGAACTTCTCTATAATTATTATTATTATAAGTTTTTATGTTGTATTAATCAAATTTACATAAATTTTATTATTTCATTATTATTAATATTAATAATACATTATTAATGTATTTGTAGTGTAAATGTAATACAATATTTGTATTGATTTTTATTATTATTATTATTATTATAGTATTATTAACTAAACTACTAGTCAGTCACTAATAGTTAGTTTAACTTTTAATTAATAGTAAATATAATTTTCTAATTAAATTAATTGATTTGGTTTGTAATACTATAATACAATTGTTGAATATATTGTTTACAATATATTGTTTGTTGAATATAATAATAATAATTATTATTATTATAACAATTGATTTGTGAAAATCAATTGAAAAACAATGACAACACCAGCGATGATACCGTCGAAGGACTCGTTTGATCGCTTCGGCGATGATTTGGCGGAACTATTGCTTCAATATCTGCCAACTGATGACAAACTAAGACTTGAATTGGTGTCCAAACAGTGGCAGTCATTGATATTCAATGGACAAACTGATCTGATATTTGATGAGAAACTATTGATAAGTTTTTTTAACAACTCATTGTTTGGTGAGAAACAGACAATTAATTTGTTTGAATTGTTGGCCAAAAAGTGTCCAAACATTACAACAGTTAATATAAGTTCAATCCTTTATTTTATCAATTATTTTGATTTATTAATCAAATATTGTCCGCAATTGAAACACCTATTCATTAGTCACGTATGTCTTAATTCACACGATTGGATCAGTTATAGTCAATCGTTTGATTGTTTTTGTCGCCAATTTGGTCAACAATTACAGACATTTAAGTTTAGCGTCAGATGTATGGTAACTAACGAACTAATGTATTCAAAAAGTATCAATAGTTTGACAAACTTGAAGACTGTGGACATCCGTATAACAAGGAAAACACGTTTGGATACCGTATTAGTTAATTATGGCCAACAAATCAAACAATTGAATCTATCAGTCGATGAATATGAAAATGAAAACAAATTCAAGATAATGACAAACTGTTTGTTACAAATGCCGCAATTGAAACAACTGGCCATTGGTTTACCCAATAATTTTGTCATCGATTGCACTGATCAGACCGTTCAGCTGTTGACTACAATTGGCCGCCGGTGTCGACAACTGATAGAGTTTAGCTATACATCAAACGAAACATCGATTGACTTAATTATCCAAATATTTGTGACAATTACTAAACATATGTCACCGAAATTGAGACGATTATCACTGAATTGTTGGTCCAGATCTTTCGATGAGTTGACTTATGGCGAAGTGTCAGAAGTGACCAGCGATTCGTTGAAACGATTTCGTCGATTAACACATTTGAAACTTCGCGTTGGTTATTGGCGTATAATTGGTGACCAGTTTTTCCGCGACATTCACCGCAATCTACCGCGTCTACAGTATATCAGGTGCTTTGAATCGTCCATTACTGATGAGTCGATCAAAGCTATGGGACAGTTGGCACACCTCAGGTTTGTCTATCTACTGTGCGATCCAAACAAACTGATGACAAATGAAATATTATCAATAATATCCAATCAGTTACTAATTAATAATAATATTAAGCACTTATTTATTAAGTATTTGACATTAAATGGTCGCAAAAAACAGTTTACTTATGGAAAATATCTTAAGGAAAATAATTCAAACAGTTTATTAAGTTATAGTAGTGATGACAGTGATTGACATATGATTTAGATTTAAGTCGATAATGTTATAACAATAATAATAATTATATTGATTTTAATTCTGTTATATCAATGGTTAATAACAATTTGTATAAATATATACTACGGTAATAGTTTTAATTTTTATTTTACTTATATATTATTTACAAAAATTATATTATTTTTTAATTAATTGTTATTAATTTAATTTAAACTATAACTTAGAGCTACTTTAATAGTTTATGTAATTATTTACTTATAAAAAAATTATTGATTATTACTGTATTAATAATATTAATAATACATATTTTTAAAACTATTATTGTTATTGTTTATTGTTAACATTATAATTAAAGTTGTTAAAAATGTTTGTTTTTAAATACAGTAATTTTATTAAAATTAATAGACTATTTGTTGTATACATTGTTTAATAATTTAGATTTTATTTGTTTAAAAATGTTTGCAATTAAATTTTTTGAAATTTTTTTTAAAAAATCATAAAAAATATATTAAATTTATACGATTTATAATATTTTAATAAATAACTAATTAGAGGTTCACTTGACATTAGTTTACATTTAAAAAAAATCTATTGTAAATAAATATTTGGTTTACTTTTTAAAAAAAAATATTACAATTAAATTATATGTTATTATATTTAATAATACTGTATTGTATCTAATATATTGATGAGATTTTTCTACATTTAAATTAAAAAAATAAATTACACCAAAAATCCTTAAGAATTATTGTTTTTTTAAAAAAATTGTTGTATTAATTCATATATTTTAATGAAATTACTTTTATTACATTAAAAACACTTTTATAAAAAAAAGTTATCAAGGCTACATTTTATTGAAAACTTTTTGTTTTTTAAACTATAAAAAAATCAACAAAATATGATACAAAATATTTAATAAACAATATATTCAAAATGTTTATATTTGTTTTAACACATCCTGTTTTTAAAAAAAAAAAAAATCATTTATTAATGAATTTATTAAATACAGTATTTTTGTTTAAATGTTTTGCTAAAATTGATATTTTTGTGAATTTTATAATACTTTGGTATCTTAAAACTATTAAAAAAAAGATTATTTTTCATTTAAAGAATAATAAATAAATTTTGTTTATTAATATTTATACAAAAAAAAATAAAAATAAAATAATATCATAGTATGTATACTTAACAAAACCCATTTATTTTAATTAATTTTCAAAATAAACTTAATTATCACAATATTTTTTATTATTTTAATATTAATACTTCAAAGAGAATATGAAATATTTAAGTTTTATTTTAAAATTATTGATTAACACATCCTTTTAACACTTGATAAACAGATTTTCAGATTTTTTGTATAAACAATAATAAGTTAGTATTAATTATATTAATTCATTAATTATGTTTAGCACTGTATATAATGTATAAATTAATTATTTTAATCTTTAAAAATAAAAAATCTGATATTAAATATTCTCTAAACAATACAAAAATGTTTATATGTTTAACACATCCTTTCATTTATCATTTGTTAATCAATATTTAAATATTTATTGTAATGTTTTCTAAATATTTGAATTAATATTATTATTATATATATTTTTTCTAAACTAAATTATATAAACTTGAATATATGATTAAAACATTTTATTTAACACTTTTTTTAAAATCAATTTTTATTGATGTTTGTGTAATATTTGTTGAATAATTAAAATTCAGATATAGTTATAATAAGTATAATAATAATAGTTATTATATTAATACATAATTATAAAATTTGTATACATTTTATAAGTAAATTAATACGTAAAGTAGTATTTTTTTAATAAAATATAGTCTTTTTTTATTAATTAATTACAATGAATTCAACTGTTTTAATAACAACATGTAAGTATTATTTAGTATCAATTAATTAATTATATAATATATAATTTTAACTAAACTTTTTTTTATAATAATTTTGTACTAAATATATTATTAGCTACACAGAAATCTATTATACCTAATGACCATAACATCACTACTGAATTATTTCAAATTATTGCAATTGTCGTAACAATGCTAATGATAATCACTATAATCATTGCAACAATCAAAAAGTTGCGAAAAAACACAGACAACACAACTGACATACAATTGGATAGCATTGACATCAGTGGTCCAACTGATGGACCAACTGATGGACAAAGTGTTGGTCAAACCATTGACTTCAAGACATTACACAACAGGTTTCGTCCGAACAGTTATATTGAAGAACAGATTCAATACACACAACAACTAAAACAAGAAACTGATGAATACATTGAAAGATTTGAAGCCAAAGATCCGATTTATTACAAACAAGTGTTGAGAAGAAAACATAAATAATTATTTTTTTAAATAATAATCAATTAATATTACTTTTAATTTAGATATTTTTATTTACATATTTTAGATTTTGATTTAGATAATTATTTTAAAATTTAAATACTTTTAATACTTAAATTTTTAATAATAATAAAATAAAAAAAACTTTTATCTGTATGTATACATTATACTGTATTATCATCTAATGTATGCAAATACTAACATTTTGAACTTATATTTATATAAAAAATTTTAATATATAGAACAATATATTATTTTTAATACTTAAAAATTTACTTTTTATAAATAAAGTTTTTTAATTGACTAATTGATAACTATTTATTATTATTATTATTATTATTATTATTATTATTATTATTATTATTATTATTATTATTATATAAATATTAGTTAAAAATAATGTTCATTGCAAACAATTAGCAAATGAAAAGAAAATTACCTAAAAAACTAAATTTCTATTATTAATAGATTGTTACAAATTATTATATTATATTACATATACAAACATACAAACAAACATATCCTAACTATTATTATTTTTTATTAATTATTATTATTAACAGTATCGACGATCCAATCAATAAATTTTGAAACTCTTGTGAATTGCATTGTATGATGTGATTTATATGGCAAACAATTTTCACCACTATTTTCAATCGTAATGAGTTTGTTTAGTCCAATAAGTACGGCCCGACCCCCGACATACTGGATCACTGGTCCGCCAGAATCACCCTATTATTAGTATATATAGATATATCATATATATTTATTGTATATGCTGTATACTAGTATACTTACTTTGCAAACTGCTGTTCCTGTATTTATCGGATATCTGTGCGCTATAATAGTATTCGCCGATAGATCTGTATAATTATTATCGACTTTATCCAACTTAATCCAACCCATTAGCAATGGACCCAAATTATACTCCTCTTGATCTGTCTGACCAAAACCGGCAGTCAGTGCCAACTCTTCATCGGTATTGACAATGTCTTTGTCCGGCAAACAAATGCTGTTCACAAACGGCTGTCGATTGATTGTTTGAGAGGCAATGATTGGTATCGGTATCTGTGACTTGAGTTTCAGTAATGCGATATCATATGTTAGGTCTGTTTTTGAATCCGATCCGAAATATAGCGGATGATAGTAATACTGTTGGACACCATATGTATGGCTATCATCTCTATGATCCTGAACTATACGCACACTAAACGTGCGATCAGTTCTTTAAAAAAAATTAAAAGACAAACAAACAAAACAGTAATTTATTATTTTGTATTAATTAAAATATTTTTATTAAAGTTTTTTATATATATTATTTAATGGTATTCTTATAACACTTTTTTCTAATTGGTTTATTTATAATAATTATATTAATTTAATTAATTAATGACATTACTTGAGACAATGGGCTACTGTTATAATCCAATTGCTGTTTAGTATAACACCCGGACAGTGATAGCTACAGTATATATACAGTAAATATTTAATTGTATTTATATATTAAATTAAAGTAAATATTTATATATAATATATATTCAAATTTTTATATTAATTTATTATATTACAGTATTTAGAAATAGCTTAGCTTAATGTTTAAAAGTGACTATAATAAAAAATTTTAACAAACATTTTGCACAAAATTTTGTTTACTCGAGTTTGTTATAATATTATTTTTAGAAATATATAATAATATATATAATTTTTATATATTTTAGTAAATCAATTGCCTTTTGATTTTTATAAACCAAAAATATTTTTCACACAAAACTAATGCAATCCACGGCCACTCTCCGGGTTTGACTACCCGTCCATTTTGTATATCACTACTAGTGGTCTCATTGTATGACCACTTGAAACACTGGCCGGTAGTCAACAGTGATTGTCTGCCGATACCACACGTGTCGAGCGTTACGTTCGGGTAGTGTTTGATAGTTGAGTGCAAACTATTCACTACTACTACTAATGTAGTGATTAATAGTAAATTAATCATATTTTTTATATCCATAATAATAGTAATTATATCACAAAAAATATTTATTTATTAAAAAATGTTTTTTTTTAAATTAATAAACTTTAATATTATTGTATTTTATTGTAGAATAAATATAATTTTTAATTGAAGATAATTTAATATTATATATCATTTTGATTGTAATTTGAAATTTATATTGAACATGTAATGTATACTTTTAATTGAATCTTATTTAATATAACATTTAATATAACATTTTTATTGTAATTTTAAAATTATAAATAATAATATTTATAATAATATGATAAAATAATTTTAATTACTGAAATTAATAAATTATAACACTATTATTTTCAATTGATTATTATTATCATTATTAATACATTAAGAAATACTTAAATGCTATGAAATTTATCATTTTATATAATTTATATGATTATAATTAATTTGGTCGACATTTGCAGACATTGGACATCACTATATGTGGAGGAAGTCTGGGATTGAATGTTATATTTACTGACAATAAGTTGTATTCATTGCCGAAAACTATCCAATCATTGACACTAAGACTGGACAACAATTTTATCAAATTATTTACTAAATTTACGACCACTTATGGCCAACAAATCAAATTCATTGAATCTATTAGTTTATGATAAACTTAAAGATGAAAACAACTTCACTGACACTGACATCCGGTTTGTCACAAATGCAACAATTGAAACAACTGTCCATTAGTTTACCAAATTATTTTGGCACCGATCAGACCATTCAACTGTTGATAACAATTGGCCGCCGGTGTCGACAACTGATTGAGTTTATTTATACATCGAAAGTGTCACGGCTTGCGGTTAAAGGCTTTTTACATTAATAAAGAAAAATTAGTTTTTTTTACTGTACTTACCGTTTGATGATTTGTACAAATTATGACTTATGAAATCAAAGGGTTAGAAACTCTTGTGGATAACAATTAATTATTTTCATACTTATTTTTATTAAAATTAATAATTAATTATTTTAATTCTTAAATTCTTATTTTTTATTAAAATAAAATAAAAATAGTGACGGCGGATTTTTTAATTTTATTTTTTTATTAAAAAATTTATAATTAATATTAACTTTTAATAAATTATTTTTTTGAATAAATAAATTATTATTATTATTATAATTATAATTATTTTTAATTATTAATACGTCTACTATACGTAGATAAAGTATCTACCAAAATAATGGCGGCGGCGAATAGATGAATTAATAAATAAATAAAAACCTAATAGATTAGGTAAGGTTAGGTTAGGTTAAAAAAATTTACTCTAATTTCCTTTTTTAGATAAGTTGATAAAATAAATTTAAATGAAATGTAAAATGAAAAACGCTTTTGTTTTAATGAAAATTTTATTTATAACCCTGATAAATTAATAATACAATTTTCGATGTGTGTGTTTGTATTAAGATCTATTTAACGATCCGATACGGTAACGGAAATAATGATTAGTTTATTGATTGTATTTTTTTGTAATGACTGAGTGTTGGGAAATTTTTAAAAAAAAAAATAATTATAAAATAATTTTTTAACTATTATTTATAATTTTCATAATAATAATAGAAATAATATAAACTAAATATTATTTTAGCTTTTTTTTATATAATTTTATAATAAGTAAAAATTATTTATTATTTTACAGCAAAATAACTGTAAGATGTCATCCATCATCAATGTTATACCAGTTATATATATATCGAAGATTTAGTCGATGATAATTAAATGGACAGTCAATTGGTAACGAAAATATTGATTAGTTTATTATTGATGGTATGTTTGTATGACTGAGTGTTGGGAAAAAATTTTGTTGAGTGATTGAGTGAGTGTCCGACAAAGTGATACTATTGGTACACAAATTCTGTGCGGACAGTTTGTCGGCAGTACTGAATATTGACGGCCATCAGTTTCAGTTAGAAACCTAACATAATGTCATATTTTTAGTAGAATTTGAATTTTTTAATGTTTATTTATTATCGGTTTAGGGTTAGGTCGACAACACAACAAAAAATCAAAGAAACAAATTGGTATTTTATTGTATAATATCTATTTTATTAATATCAATATTTTCGTTAACACAGAGTTCCTGGTTGACAAAAAAAAAATGCGGTAAAGGAGGCGTCGACAGAATAATTGGTGGAGTAAAAACTCATCTGATAATACCTAATCATAAATGGCGTAAATTATAAATTTTAATAAGTTTAATAATTTATAAATTGGTATTAACTGCTGTACACTGTCTTAGGCATACTAGAAATTATTATTTAGTTATTTATTAATAATTGAACTTAAATATTTAAAACATAACTTTAAAATGTTTAAAATATATATTAAAATAATTTAAAAATATTTGTAGAAAATACATAATTGAACTTTTTTTTATATTTTTTATGATTATAACTTTTATTAAAATATTATTTTAGTTTTTATGGAAGAATTGCGCAAATAATATGGCGAATAAAATATTTATGTTGACCGACAACCGCTATCTGCCATCGATCATAAGTTTCAGTTAGAAACCTAACATAATGTCATATTTTAAATCTCTATTTAAAATGTGTAAAAATGTTTATTATTACCGCTTTTGGGTTAGTTCGACAACATAATCACAGTTATCAACCAAAATCAACAAAACAAATTGGTATTTAATTGTAAAATAAAAATAATAATTATAATTTATTTTATTAATAGCATTATTTGCTTCAACACAGAGTTCATGGTTAACGAAAAAATGCAATAAAGGAGGCGTCGCACGAATAATTGGTTGAGTAGATTCACCTGATGATAAATAGCTATGAATGGCATAAATTATAAATACTATTGATGTTAATAATCAAATATGTGGCGATACTCTAATAATTTTTGTCATTCATCATGTCAACATCAGTGAAGTTTTTAAGATTATGTTTTACACACATTTTATTTATTATATTATTATTTTACTTTTTTCACAACTTTTTTATATAACTTTGTAATCTCATGGATTCGTATAGCCATCACATAAGTTAGAATCATTTTGACAATGCGGTTTCAAATTGTTATCGCTGGATCAACAAATAATGTTAATAATTTTTTATTTTTTAATTAATATAATTTTATAGAATTTAAAACTATTCTAATATTATTTCATATAATAATATCATAATTGTCTCATAATATTTATTTACTTATTTATTAGCAAAAAATATCTATAATTAATTATTCGCAGAAAAAAATAATAAATTATCTTGTTATTTTAATGTCAAACATTTATATATATATACTGTAAAATCGACTAAATAAATAGTACAGTTTTATGAACTTTATTTTATTAATTATAATTTTATTAATAAAAAAAATAATCTTTCAAATTTATTTTTAATTTTATTATATTGTTTAATAATTGTTAAAAAGTGGATATAATAAGTAAATATAAATGATAACAGATATAATGATTATTTTATTGATTGTAGGTTTATAATGACTGAGTGTTGGGAAAATATGGTTAAGTGAGTGACTGTGCGGACTGTTTGGTAGGTACTACTTGTTCGAGAGAGTAGTGAGATATTTATAGACTATTATTTATTATTTATAGCTCAGGTTTACAACAACAATATAACCGTTGACAATACTGAGACGTTATACGATATATGTTAATATTATGACATCCGTATGATATGATTCTACCAATTGGTCAGTGGCCGTCAACTCTGATAGAATTGCAAGGAAAACGACGGCCAATTCGATATCCGTCATACATGTAGTGTCCTCTACTGGCAAAGTGGCACCGACCGAATAAGCGGTCAAATTTTACTATCGATATCGCCGAAGGACTCTTACTCTACTCTATTCTCACACTTTCTATATCCTAATAACCGATACGGTGTTGGCGTTGGGCGACACAAACTACAAACGAATAGCCAATTTTTGGTAAAGATTTTATTATTTTAAAAATTTCTTTTAATCTCATTTTTTTAGATAAGTTTATAGCGGTTAGTGCTGTAGTGAGTGTGATAATTATAGTAAACACTAAGCTGTTATTGGCTAATGAGTGTTTGACGACAAATAAAAAGCTACTTTTACAGTGGTATTCAATAGAGATATAAAACTAAGAACCAACTCATACTTAAAATTTTAATACTTAAGATAAGTTGATTCTTATTCTTATAAAACGTTGCAAAAACAAGTGCTCAAAAAATTGATGCTTATGTTTGCGCATCATGTATACACATGCGCAACACTTAACCGAATCAGTAAAGAAACTATGAAAACAGCTGTTGTTGTTATTGTTATTTAAATAAAGTTATCGAATTAAACAATGTCACGAAAAAACTTTTCTGAATACGACCGCAATTTGTTAGTATCATTGATTGAACCATTTTCTTCAATACTAAAAGATATGAAGAAAGATTCAATCACCAATCAAAAGAAAAAAAATATTTGGGAACAAATTGCGGTCGGGTTTAATTCAGACCCAAATATAACGTGTTCCCGTAATAATGAGCAATTAATTAAAGCATGGCATAATATTTGCTCGCGCACTAAAGAAGAGATTGCCAAGAACAAACAGGCAAGAAAAAAGACAGGCGGCGGACCACCTGCAGAGGAAATAAGTACAATCAGTGCCAACGTTGCAGGTAAACAACTGTCGGGACTAATGAACTATACGGAGATCAATATAATACCGAAATACTTATTTTAGGAATGTTAGGGGATGTATTAAATCCATTGGACAATCCATATGACGGTGATGTTGGACATCATGACAATGATGTCACCACATCCAACAATAATTTGAATCAGAACTCGCACGAACCAGGT